GGCGCTGTTTTTGTATGACAACCCAGTGACAAGGATGCCTGCAGCGCCAGCACAACATGACATCATGCACGCTGTTGAGTTTAGATTTGTGAAAATGTTCAAATTTGCACTGTTCAAGGGTTGTCATTGTGCTAGAGAGAGTAAATGTCATGAATAAATTTGACATTAAACATAATCCAAGTTGAAGTGTTACATCATTTTCAGCGCTCTTTTAGGCATCTGCATTTAGTAACAGGCCAAACTGACAAAGACCGTGCAGAATAATGTAGTTTTTTAATTCCACAGCAGAGGAAGTTATGTAGTCTCTGTAAGTAGGTCTAGGGGAAAAAATATTGGTATCGGTTATCGGCCAAATAAGTTTTAAGATATCAGCATATTGGCTAAAAATCCAATATCGTGCATCCCTAAAATTTAATATGGGAATAAGCTGCATCCTAACTCAGAAAAGGTTAATGACGTCATCGCTTTTGCCAGTTTGAGGGCTCACTCACAGCACAGCAGTCACGCTCAATGCAGATGTTGAAACATCAGTGAGAGGAGATGCAGACACCTGAAGTGGCTGTTTGGCTCAGAAGAAGGCGAGCTGCACGACAGCACAATAAACCCCATCTCACATAGCCTCCTGACTGCTAGGAAAAAATATCGCCATAGAGAGAGTCAACAAAAACACCAGACAGAAATTGCCCAATATAAAACATTTTGCACTTCCTTTTTTCTTCTCTGTCAAACACTTGTAGTGATGGACATTGTTTTCTTTGAAGAAAAAGAGGAAGTTCCTACACATTTGGTAACATCTAAAAGTCCTAAATGCCTTTCATGGAGGATGGGAGTTAGATATGCAGGGGGTGGGAGATACACCAGTTCACAAATGTCCAAACTGTGTGTTCTTAATCTGTATGTGTGTGTGTAGGACCCGGTGAAGGACGGCGAGGCCAAGATAAAGTCCGAGTACACTCAGCTGTTGGAGGACATGCAGAACTCCTTCCGCACCCTGGAGGAGTAGTCACACCCACCCAGCCTCTCCACAGTCCATCTCTTGACCCCATCCTCCGCTGCAGAGCTCATTCCACCTCTGTATTCCCAGACCTTCGTGCAGTGGCCCCGCCCCTTGTGATCCTTTGTGGTTGATTGTGTGTAAAACCTAACGTGGAGGGAAAAAAGAGACAGATGTACTGTATTCATTATTATTTGCTGCCTCACATTCTGGATCCTCTGCATGGTCATGGTCACTGATTGTGTGCGCGTGATGATTTAAAAGCGAGCGTGACGGCCGGATCTCATCACCTCGTTTCCTTTTTTCCCCCTCTGTTTACATGATTTCTGCGTGTAGCCGTGGTTTGCTCTTCGCGACGAGTTGTGTTGTAATTCACCGACCATCTGTACAGAAGAATATAAATTTAATAAGATCAGTCTATTTATTGCCAGTGTTTTGATGTAGAGGCTTCCTTTTTGTTTTAATGGTTGTATTTCAGCAGTGTTGTGTACCATTGCTGTGTGAATGTGTAAGAGTCAGACTCTGCTGTCCAACTGTTTCATTATGTTACTCTGAAAGAATTAAAACACTGCAAAAAATAAAATAAAAATCCCAGCAGGTTGTGTGTTTGTCTGAAGCTAATTGTTGCTGATTAAGCTGTCGGTGCTGTTGAACTGGTATCTCAGCATGACTAAACACCTGAAAAACCAAGCCCTTTGGTTGAAAAGCTAAAAATAGAGCTGCAAAGTACTTTTTTTTACCACTGTTCTTCTAATAGCACATCAAAATTTACTGCTTAAGCTTCACAAACGCATTATTAATTTATAGTACTGTGGCTTAAGAGAGCTACATTTACAAGTTGAGCCTAACAATTGAAGTCGTCGCCTGTAAGGGCGTCATCAGTGAGGTGACGACTCCCAGAAGGTATGTTCCCCTGCAGGATGAGAATCACCTGCTGTCACAAGGAGCGCATTTAACATCCGAGGAGCCTCGGCTGCGTCCAACTCACAGCAGGCGTTTGTTTACTGTCAGCTCGCTCAGGTAAACAGACATCCTGGGTCCTCTACGTGTCAGGTAAGTAAAAACAAGCCGTGTGTTCAATATTAGATTTTTTGTGTGTAAAAAAGGAGCTTCAGGTTGATCTGATTGACTCGGATCAGCAGGTGATCGTGTTAAAATGCTGCTTTTATATTTTGAACTAAAACATTTTAATTTTTGCAGTTCACAGAAGAAGTTTAGAATTATGTTCACTGGTGCTTGAAGGTTTCTGGTCACTTGGTGTGACGTCAGCTCTGCAGACGAACCAGTTTTGTTACAAACTGACCTCTTAGTCTTGTTGCTGTGATATTTTTATTTTTTTTTAACCCATGATTCCTAAACTTTAATTCTGCTCTCATTTCCTCCCTTAATGCATGAAACATGCACAATTCTAATAAAGTTTACTCTACTTGAAATGTGATTTATTTTTTATTTTATTTTAGTGGATAAAATTACCTCTACTGAATGTTAATTAGAAGTACTCAGGTGTGAACATGTTAAACGAAGGAAAATTTATTTTAAAGAATCTGTTCAACAAGCGTGTTCCAGCAATTTGGAGTCGGTTCATGTGGGGAAAAATGACTCGAGTGGAAAATTTTATATTTTTGTTAAACTTTAAATTGATATACTGGAGCAGGCCTAATTGGTGAAGTTGTAAACATTGTGAGGACATATCGTCGTTTCTAACCTCTATACACATTCGGCTGTAGAAGCCATGAGGAGAATCTTAGTTTAAGATGTGATGAACACTCCTGGAAACACTGACGTTAATGGTGCAGGTTTGAGCCATTTAGGAAGACATGGATATGCTGACTCACCCAATGTTTTATAGATTCTTCTGTCCCCTTTATGGACTCTTAACTACAGCAGCACATTTTGTGCCATTTTATTTTTTCCACTGTTCATACATCTGAACGGTCAGCTTGATTGGTAATAGTGTGCTTGTTTTTTGTAACTTTTTTTTTTTTATCTTGTTTTAATGGCTTTAGCTTTACTTAAAATAAATTCCTTGTAGAAATACAGTGAGATTTCTTGAATTCCTTCAGCAATATTACTTTTGAAATCTGCTTCATTACACTCCCCCCGCAGTGCTTTTACTTACCCTTCTACCACTTTTTCGTTGTTTTCAGTCACTTTTTGCCACCAATTTGCAGCTTTTGCTCATATATTGCTAGTTGTTCTATCAGCTAGCCTTTTGCCATGTTTATTTCAATTCATTTTGTTCATATAGCGCCAAGTCACAACAGTAGTCGTCTCGGGGCACTGAACAGAAACATTCATAACCATAAAAAGTAAGTTAACATTTATCTGAGGAGCAGACTGCTTTGAATTTAACTCTCATCACAAAACTCTCATCTTGAGCAAGCATGAAGGCGACAGTGGAAAGGAAAAACTCCCTCATGAGGAAGAAACATTTAGAACCAGGCTCAGGACAAGCGCCCATCTGCATCGACCGGCTGGGTTTGAACAGATACACAATGGCAGGTCAAGAATCACGTAAGATAGAAATGGTATCAAATGAAAACTATTGAAATTTTAACAATTAATTTTAAGAAATTTGGGCAATTTGTCGTCTAGTAGTCTAAGCCTATTGCAGCATAACAACCCTAACTATAGGATTTATCAAAAAGGAAAGTCTTTAAACTGGACAATGTGTCAGCGTCGCGGACAGAAACTGGAAGTTTGCTCCACAAGACAGGATCCTGACAACTGAAGGCTCTTCCTCCCATTCTGCTTTTGGAAACTATAGGAACCACAAGTAAGCCTGCGGTCTGAGAGAAAAGTGCTTTGTTAGGAAAATATGGAACAATAAGATCTTTAATATAAGATGGAGCTAGGTTGTTGAGAGCTTTGTAGGTTAGAAATAAGGTTTAGCTAATTTGTTCAAGCTACTTTTTCTCATTTTGGCCTTTTTTTTTTTAGCTGCTGTTTTGTCAACTTTATTTTGCTCTGCTTGTTTAACTTAACATATTTGCAACAATTTCCCACAAATATTTGAAATGCAATTTTATTTATTATTTTTCTCTCCAGAAAATGCACGTTTGTGAAGCTTTTCAGTTCTGCTGTTAAAAATGTTGTCATCCGTTAGAGCTCTGAGACTAATATTTCTACCCAACCTTTGCCCGAATTATAATCCAAACTGTTTGTTTCTGAGCAGCCCAGCAGATTCGATGGACCAGGAATCCAACCGGTCAGGAGTGGGCAGTGATGATGATAGTTCATCCCTGGTGGACCTCAGGCTGAGCTCAGAGGAAGAAGTAAAACCACAATAATAAACTCATTACTGTCAATACTGATCCTTAAATCTGAGCAATGGGCAAAATGAATCATTTTCTTTCTTCTATCTAGTCATGCATTTCTAAAGTAACCTGTGATTGGAAACTTTCTCACTGCCCTCTTGTGGTTCGGATAAAACAGCAAAACCCAAAAAGGCTGGTTAGAATAATCTTTGTCAGATAATACACTGAACTTGTTCCCACCACACACACAAAAAGGAAAAAATAATAAACTTATTGAAACTATATTGCATCAATAATAACCCAATCTTTTAATGTAATTTTTTAAATCAGAGCTCTGAAACTCCAGGGCCGTGTCTTTCGGTGCCTCAGGCTCCTCTGCAGAGCTACAAGCAGAGGCTGGAGGAGTTCAGGAGGCTGTTCAAAGAACTGCCAGAATCAGAGATGCTTATATTGGGTAAGCAGCAAAAACCTCCTGTAAACTCACTTTATAGAGATCACTGCTGACACTAAAACCACCAATGCAGCAAACGCATACATTTGTCTTTTTATTTATATTCCCAGAGTATTCTTCTCTCTAATTACCTTGCAGCAAGTAGTAAACAGTGCATTGTGGTGTGTTAATGCTCTTCATCTGTGTGTTTTACCTGCTGCGTCTCCTCAGACTACCCGTGTGCCCTCCAGAGAGACATCCTCCTTCAGGGACGCCTCTACCTCTCAATGAACTGGGTCTGTTTCTACAGCAATGTGTTTCGTGGAACGAAGGTAATGAGACTGTGGGGACAAAACGGGCAGGGATTCATCGTTGCACACAATCTAATGACCACGTAATGTTAATATAAAGCACCATCGTGATTATTATTATTCTTCTTAATTTTGCTGACACGGATGTTGGCAACAAGCCTTTAATGTTTTTTTTTTTTTCCTAGATCATGTTGACTCTTCGAGACATCACTAGTATATCCAGAGAGAAAATAGCTCGACTGATCCCTAACGCCATCCAGATCTGCACAAATACTGAGAAGGTCTAAAAAAAAAGCTGCCATTCTAAAGCGCGTATCTACATTTTATTAATGATCAAACACAAAAACACCGTTAATCTCTCTGTATGTCCTTCAGTTCTTCTTCACTTCCTTCTCAGCGAGAGAGAGAAGCTATCAAAGTGTTTATCGCATGTGGCAAAACACTTTGATGAACATAGTAAGTCCCTATTCCTAACTATTCAAGCTAATCATTTGCACACTTTGTTTCTTGTATTTGAATCTCAAACATTTGTCTAAAATACGGATGCATCAGCAGGTCTGATTCAAAAAGCACTTATCTATCGGGGTCAAAGTTCAAACCGTCTCAACCGCATGTTGTCTGCAAAGGTTATCGGTGTTCTGCTGCAGGGTTTGCTCTCAAATCGGTTTGTTTCATAGTCTGAGGACACATGTTTGGAGGATTTTACCCAGACGTGTCCTGGGCACAGTTTAACTCGGCTTTCACCTTTCACACAGTACAGAGTGAGAAGAGGCATTTGTCAGAACAAACTCGGGTTTGTTCACTTTGGCACATGCAAAACATTTTAGTTTATTCAGAAGGTTTAAGATAAAATGTGTGCAGCGAGACGAGTTAAAAAGACCCAGAGAGACAACGCTGGAGGGAAAATACCCGTTAGATTAATGGAGGAAAAAAGTCTAAAAGTTGAGTTCAAGTGAATGAATGAAGCAAATGGTTCAACTGTTATCTTTGAAGGAATATTAAAGTAATGATTTAGCTAGTTTGATCTTCAACAAACATTTGGTTCAAGTAAAATGGATAAACCTTTTTGTGGGAGAAAGTGTAACACTGAAAATGGTCTACTTTGACCCATTGCTTGCTTTAACGTTTGAACACTAATCTCAAGAAAAGGATAAATGATTACACTGTTAGGACTCCTTTTTTTTTTTAAAGTAATGCATATTGCTCTCCACCTTTCATGAAACGCATGAATTGAAATTTTATAAGAAATGAGTTGTAACTGTTTTTTGTCCAACTTGTTTGACATTTGTCCACGCTCAGGGTGCATATTGAGAATGACTCAGCTACTTCATTAAATTTAGCTTTAGTGTCTGTGAAACTGCCTGAGATAAAAAAAAAAAATATATATAATAATAATAATAATAATAATAATAATAATAATAATAATAATAATAATAATAATAATAATAATAATAATAATAATAATAATGGATTACAAAAATAAACACTTTAATAATAATAATAATAATAATAATAATAATAATAATAATAATAATAATAATAATAATAATAATAATAATAATAATAATAATAATAATAAAAAGAAAAAAATAAATAAAATAAAAAAAGCCATTTTAGTGTTTTGCTAAAAATCTTGGACTGACTTGACTCAAAGTTAATCAGATGTTCACTTTGTAAATTATAATCTAAGGGGGAAATATAAAGTTATAGATTTCAAAGAGGGTGAAATTATGCAAACTGAATTCAGTAAAAAAACAACTTTGATTTTGATTTAAAAAAAAAAAAAAAAAAGCTTAATTTTAATTTACTGTCTGGATGGAAATTCTCTAAACAGAAAGTAAGAACGGTTGCATGTTTTCTTTGAGAACTGATTAAAAAGTCAGGTTGGACTTTACTGTATTTTTTATTTTTTAAATATGTCACAACCTATCTGCAGCGCGCTCTCAGGGGCGGGGCGTGTCTGATTGGCGGCGCGTGAACACCTGTGCGGGTAAACCAGAGTTCATTGACCTCTCCAGGTGTGGCTCCGACGGCTGATTAACGACGACCTGCAGTCAAACCGACCAGAGCAGAAACTCTCAGCGGGGGTCGCTCCAAAACAAACAAAACCCCGAACCGAACCGTAGTTTCTACACGAAGAAGGCTTGTATTTAATATGTAGTCCGGCTGGGCGGCGCGTGTTAAACCGAGGACTTCCTGGATGCGCGCTGCGTTCACGGTACATATTTGGGGCGGACAGTTGCGGCGACATGTTCTCTGACAGGTAAGGGGAACCGCGAGCAAACAAACTTTGTCGGGTTTTAAGGAAAACTAAGCTAAAACACAGTAAATAAGTCCAAATGTTTTTGTTTTTCCTGCCGGAATCCACAAATCTACAACAAAACATCGACTCTTCTTAATGTGAAACCAGCTGTTTTTAGAAAAACCTGCAGCCTTTAAAGTGCCCCAAGCGCAGGTTGTTATTAAATATATTGACCTGCTCTTGCTATGGGTTAAGACATTCGTGTAATGTTTGTTAACCGTCTCCCGTGGAGATGACTATACACCTGGTGGACGTCACACGTTCCCAGGGTACCTGCACCTGCTGCAGAACTGTCTTCACACAGTTTCCTCCTTTAATTCAGCCCCTGACCAGCCAGGAGGTGTGGCAGATGGTTAAACAGCACTATGGGTGTGATCTGGGTCTGACCAGTGAAGAGATGGAGAGTTTACAGTTATCAACAGAAGCAAACATGCAGACCAGGTAAGCACTTCCTTTAAAATTACTAACAGTCCTGCTTATCACCCACCATGTCGGCTTTAGACTAATGGGGATGGAGTCAGTCATTTTGGTTATACAATAATCTCAAGATCAGTTGGTGCTTGGAGTATGTGTTGGTTGATGACTTTCGGTTACACAGTTTTAGCTTAATATATGTAAATGTGTCAGATGCAGCCATGTATGGGTTAGTTGGTTGAGGTGGCCATGTTTAAAAGGTAATCTGTTCTAGATGGACGGCTTATTGTTACTTTGGGTTTCTTTAACATCCATCCAGTGGTTCATCAGAAATTTGTCTTGCACATCTGCTAGCTTTTACAGGCATAGGACCAAGTCGCAATGATGTAGATGTGCTGGTCTCTTTAGAGCTGAGGGTGTGGTTTGGGCTCATTTTGAGGGATCGATAAGCGATGGGGGGGGGGGGGGGGACTGAGTCATGATAAATGAGTTGAGATAAGAAGGGATATGAGGTAAGGATGAGTGGCTGAGGGAGAAGTGGGGAATATGAGAACATGAATAGGTGAACCTGCCAAGTGATTAAGAGGTGTGGTTGAGTCCACGACTCAAAGTTCTACTTGAATAGTAATTTATTACCTTTTTATATTGGCTGCACAAATTAATGTGCAGTTCAAGTATATGAAAAATAATTATTCATTCAGACCATGCCAAAAGCACATTATCTGATGTACCCCATTCTAAAGCTCAGACATGGGAGTGTTATGAACATTGACGGAACATGTGGGTTCCTTACAAATGTTGCAATATTCATCATAGTAATTGTGTTTTTCCTAATATCATGCAGCTCTAATACTAACCTGGTTGTGTACCTGCAGCCCACCACAGAAGCCTGCTGGGGATGATGGTTCTGTGAAATTGGAGCGACCACAATCCCTTCGCCTCCCTGCCATGGACACTGGGCCTGTAGAGAGCTCGTCACCTCGAGAGGAGTTCCCCTCCCCTGTCATCTCACCAAAAACTAACACGGTATCAAAAGTTGCGTGTTTGATTTTTTTTATTTTTAAATTCTACTGCATTTTTAAATGCCATCTTGTTTCCTGCAGGATGAGTCTCGCAACGCTCAGTTCATGCGGCGCAGTCCCGTTCTGTCGCTGGAGGACCGGCTCGCGCCAGAAAGAATCTCTAAACGTTCCTCGAACTCTCTTGACCTCAACGCCAACGAGAACGGCGTTTCTGAGCAAAGCGGCTCCGAAAGCATAGAAGAAGGTGAGAGGACTAAAGTCGATGTTGGAGCGTATGACGTTGGCATTTCTCTTCAAGTTTAATATTCTTTCTGCCCACCAACAGAGGAACGACTCAGTCTGTCTGAGGTGCCGGGTCGGCTGTATCTCAACAGGATTTTCCACATAAGTGCAAACAAAATGTTTGAGTTGCTCTTCACCGACTCGAGCTTCACTCGCAAGTTTATGAACGCTCGTAAGATAACGAGTAAGGCCTTTTTATTTCATTTTCCCATGTTCCAGAAATTAACTTTGTTGCTTTCTGATATTTATGCTTCTGTGCCTTCAGATCCCAGTCTTAATACCTGGCAAAAGGACGCCTCAGGAAACATGAAGCGGACCCTAAACTACACGATAACCATCAGCAACCCGCTGATCGGAAAGTTCTCCACTGCTACGGAGAACCAGGTGTGTCTCAAGAACAGTTGTGCTTTTGGTTTAAACGGTTTGTCGCAGCTTATGAAGCATTCACACTGTGATCCATTTGTCTTCTGTGTTTAATTTTTTTCCCCCCACAATTTTTGTGGTATTTAAAACAAATGTATCAGAACGTTCAGGAGAAGGCTACTTTTGGTATTGTGCAACTTTAATATTTAGAAATATTTAGCCTTTTGTCACATTTTTTTTTTTCTCATAGAAAATGAATTAAGCTCATTTTTACATCCTTGAAATCTTTAGATCTGTTTTACTGCTCCTTTCACATTTTGTTCTGGTTCACCTTCTTTCTGCAACTATAAACTTTTCAGCAGTTGTTTTTTTTTGTTATTTTTTCTATCTGTTTTGTGCTCCTTTCAAATTCTACAAACTACATTTTTTTTTCTGCCTCTTCAAACTACTTTCTGCTAATTTTAGTGTGTTTTGCTCTGTTCAGCTTATATATGCACGTTTTGGCTTCTACTATTTAGCTGTTTGTTAATTTTAGCTTCATTTTATTTTCTCTTGGCTAATTCCACTTTTTTGCACTCTTTTCTACTTTTCAGCCTTATTGAGCAAAATTATGCTTTCTCCACTTCCTTCTGTTAAGCTTCTTTCTGCCTTTTTAAGCTACTATTCAGCTGTTTATTTATTTTTGCTAATTTTATCTTTTTTCAGATAATTTCTCTTTTTTTTTTTTTTTGTTTTTTTTTTGGTGCTTCTTTCGGCCTATTTGGGCAAATGTGTTCTTTCTTGCGCTAATTTAAGTTTGTTCTACCTTTTCAGCTAGATATTTAGCTTTAAAAAAAAAAAAAAAAAAAAAAATTTTTGCTACTTTCAATCTTTTTAACTTATGGGAATTTAAGCTTATGTTTAGCTAGTTTTGGCTTTGATAATTTCAACTATTTAGCTGTTATGCTAGTTTTAGCTTCATGTAATTTCACCTTTTCTATCCCATTTCAGCTTATTCCACTTCCTGCTTTAAGCCCAAGCTTTCTGCCCTTTCAGCTAATTTTCAGCTTTTTTTTTTTTTAAAGCTAATCTAAAACTATTCAACAAATGTTTCTGCTAATTTAGGCTTGTTTCATTTCAGCTACAATTCAGCATGTTTTGTAGATTTCAGCTGTTTCTCAGCAAGTTCAGCAATTGTCATTCACACTGCATTTTCACAGGAAATGCAAATTTTCTAGTTGGTTCTTTCTTTGCCTCTCAGACTTTGTACAAAGAATCCAAGGAGGGTCAGTTTTACATAGTTGATTCAGAGGTTTACACGCATGACGTTCCCTATCATGACTACTTCTACACACAAAACCGGTACTACATCATAGGCATCTCCAAGCGGAAATGTCGACTAAGGTGAAATTATCATTAAAGCCTCTATTTATTTGATTTTATTTTTTTTCACTGACTAGTACTGACTTGAAATTAAAACTTTTCCTGTGTTTTAGGGTGTACACTGATGTGAAGTACAGGAAACCAACATGGGGCCTAATCAAGTCCTTCATTACAAAAAACTCCTGGAGCGGTATCGAGGATAATTTCAGACAGCTGGGTGAGTTTCATAAAGTGTTGCCTGCACACTGCAGAGGCAGACGAGCACGTCCTCTCCTGTTTGTCCTCTGCCTGCGATTTGATCTGATCTGAACGGTTTCCTCTGACACATGGAGCTCTGCAGCAGTGAGTCGTATTACTGCTGTGTTTGCAGGCAGGACAAAGGGAATATAAAGAGCAATATTGTCTGGCTCTTTTTTCCGACTATCCACTTTGAATGCACATCATGCGAAGCTGGAGTTTAGTATACTCGCCATTGATATTTAAACAGAAAACATTAATTACTGACATATCACACCATCTGGCATCGGTTGAGATACAAGGCAACATGTTTTTTTTTTAAAGATGAGGCAGTTTATTCGTAAGCAAAAACGATGGACAAGTTTTCACCTTTCCAACTGTAGACCAGGAAAAATGGAGAACCCTTGATCTCTTACTCACTGAGCAAAATTGAGCCAAAGCAGATAAGTTGAGATGTAAATGTAGGACAGAAGGAAAATGGGTGGCAGGAAGGAAGAAGTTTTAAAACATTCTTTAATCCTCATGAGGGCCATATTGGATTAAAGTATAAGATCTTGCTGTGCTGTAAACAAAGTTGGAACGCTGTTGTGCGTTTAAGTGTTGCGAGGCATCCATGGTATATTTTGAACTTATGGAAACTGCAACATTCAAAATGCAGTTAAGACTGCAGAACGGGCTTCAAAAGTTTAGTTTGTGTAATCATTGATGGCTCAAAGGAGGAAAAAGTACCTGAGAACTAGGTTGAGATTATTTTTATTACTAAAATACTTGACCTGCTTATTTTGTAGTAGCTACATGTGCTGACACTAACTGCAATAACCCGCCCCTAATCAATGAAGATCTTAACCATGGAGCTACATTTTAATAGCTTGAAACAGAACTATTGCTCCCCCCCCCCCCCCCCCAATTTAAAGCAATTCAGTGTTACTGACAGGCTGTTTGTACAGATCTTTATAATATTTTGTTTTGCTCCCCCCTGACTAAGCTAGTGCTCCCATGACCTGACAGCTTGGAGCTCCTTGTGCACGTCTAATTGTCACTTTACTCACTACCTGGTCATCATCTCCCCCGTCGGTTCATATGTTACAGAAGCAGAACTGCTGGAGGAGGAGGCAGAGATGACCCAAACGGGAGTAGAGCCAGGAAAGATTGGAGGACTCCGGAGGAGGCGGCGAACGTTCAGCCGGACTCTATCGGAGCACATCAAGCCCATTAAGCAGTACGGGCAAGATCCTGAACCAAGAGACGGAAACATAGGTACTTCTTTTTCGTTTGGCTTTTCCCTCTTCATGGATTGCCACAGCAAGTCATCCTGCTCCATTTCACTCTGTCCTCACTCCAACTACCTCCATGTAGGGCTGCACGATATGGACCAAAATTAATATCTCTATTTTTAAGATGAATCTCAATATACGATGTATATCTCAATATTCAAACATTGCTAAGTTCATGGCACAAACCAATGCAGACATGTTCGTATTTTTACCATTTTACATCTCTTTAAAATGCAGCTTTTTAAAATTTTTTTTTAAATTTAAATATAATTTTTCTTCCATTTATTTATTTCAATTTATATGCTTTTGTTTGTCTTATCGTTATTTAACAACAGGTCTCTCTTATAGACGAGTCCTGAGGCTCACCTTTATAAATATTGAGTTAATTTTTTTTTCTTTCTATAAATATATTTCAGAGTCAAAGCTTTGTCCCAATTGTCACAGGCACATTTATTAACAAACAGCTGTAAATCTACTAAACATAAAAAATAAAACTATTTACTGTACATATATTTAATAATAATCCTCTTCAGCTGCACCGCCTTCACAGCGTTGGTAGTAAGCGTGTGTGAAGTTGGACAGGCAGAAAAAGAACTACACAGATTTTCAAGTCTTGCAGCAAGAGGTGGAGCCACATCAATAAATCAGCAGCTTATCATATCGAAGACACGGCCTTTAGTGGCTAACAAGACGGCTAACTTTCTTGTTGGCCACTAAGGAGCGTGTTTTTGATATAAGCTGTTAAAGTTGGGACATCTCTCACTGTTCCCCTCATAAGGCAAAGCATGGCTAATAAACGAGTTTTGACCCGTGGTTTGTCTCAGGAAATGAGTCTGAAAAAGCAGTCGGCACCAACTTATAACTTACAGCGTTGTTTTAAATGGTGAAAGATTCCTAGTTCTGACCTGTTGTCGGGACTTGATTTCAGCATTGTCTACAGAAAACATTTTTTTCTGCTGCTCATATGACAATTTAAATCCAAACCATCTCCAAATAACAGCCATTGTGTTTATTTTTGCACAGCAGCTAAACTGCTCCCCTGTTTACTTGTGCTACCCACCCATCACACACACCTGGAGAAGCAGGAGGTGGGGGTATCGTGCACGGGTGAGCGGCTGTGTGAAGTTGGAGGCGCAGACGGGAGAAAAAAACTACAAAGATTTTAAAGTCTAATACTCGATGGTTGCGAAAAAGCCATTTTAACCATCGTAAATAGAAAAATCTCGTGATACATCGAGTATATTCGATAAATCCCCCAACCCTACCTCCACGTCCTCTCGAACTGAATCATATATCTCTTTGGTCTTCTTCTTGGCGGCTGCATTTCTAACATCAGTCTACCAATATACCCAGTGTCCGTCCTCTGGACTTGTCCAAATCATCTCGGTCTGGCCTCTCTAACTTCATCTCCCAGTTGTTCAACCTGTCCTGTACCTCTGATGGGTACTGATATTAATTAAACCTCTGAAGTAAATGTAACATTTTGTTGGATTTGAACAAAGATTTTATTTTCTGATGTCTTATTTCTGCAGTTTGAGGCGTCAGCATCTTTAAAATGCATCAGAATTTAAAATTTTTAAAACCGATGCAGTTGACAAAGTCTCACAACTACTGCACATGTTGCACTAACTGCTGTGCCGTCTGCACGTGCTCACATTGTCCGTGTTGTGCTGCAGACATTTTCTACATAGCGGCGCCTTTTTGTTTTATGGTTACACACAGTTTTATGTAAAGTAGGCTTAAAAGTTAAAAAGTGAAGGCTGGAAAGTTATTAGGTTTGACACACTGCAAGACCTTTTTTCAGATGGTTGCCAAATGCTTCCTGTTAATGGGGAAACCGTGTTAACTAAAGTTATCAATTTTAAACTTGTTTTTAAATTTTCTGTTGGATTGTGAAAATTGAACTCTAATGTATTTCTAACTTTTTATGTAATGCAGGCCCCATGGATATGGCGGGCCCGTACAGGTTGAACACGACTACAATAGTGGCTTGCATGAGTGTGATGTAAGCTGATCTGAAACTGCTTAAAAAGCTGCAGATGTTTGTTTTTTCTAACTTGTGCATTTTAAACAGCCCTTTGTGCCTCTTTCAGTTTGCTGATCCTGATGGTGCTGAATCTGGGCCTGTTCTTCAAGTTGTGGGCCATGGAGGACGTGGCCCACCGTATGTACTTGACCACAAAGCATCGACTGAAAGAAAGGCTTGAAGCCAGGTCAGCCGCTGTGAAACTCAGTGGATTGTTCACAGAATGAAAGGGAGATGTGAGCGCTTTGAAAACTGTCTCGTTGTGGGAGGAGGGAAGACTGTGTCTGTATGTGGACTGCTTCTATACAAGGGAAAAGTGGAGAGTTCCTGCCGACTCGCTACAAACTTTCTTTTCAGTCTCTCTGAATGTGGTTATGTAAGAAGCATCTTGCGGCAGCTATTGTCTTACATTTTCTTCACCTCGCTGTCTGTTCTGCTGTATTCATGCAGCAAATGTAACATTACCCGTCTGTCTCCGTTTACAGCTTCACGCCTGAATACGGTCCCAAACAGGGGCCGAGGTTCAGGACCAATGAGGACATGCGTCTGCTGAAAACTGTACTCCAAGACTCCATTAATCTTTTAGAACAGGTGAGATGGTGAGGCTGCAACTCCACAGCTTGCATCAATCGGCCATAACATTATGACAATTTGGCCTTTCCACGCTGCCAAAGCAAGCTGAAGGGATCCTGGTGTGTGTTTGGTACCGAGGGCGAGGAGAGCCATTTTCAAGATGGTGGCGTTTTCTGTCAGTGGTCCTCATGGCGACTCCTTTACCTGTAATTTGATCAAACGATTCCATATGTTAAATAACATTTTTAAGTGAGATTCTGTAACGGATTATAAGCAATGTCTTGCCTGTTGTGGATGGCACTTTGATATTGTATCAGCATGTCCTGACGTTACTCTGACTAGCTGTTGCCTCATCAACCCTGTCAGAACTGAACTTCAAAATAAAATGATTCAAAGCTTCACCTATCTCATCATACATTGCTTCAAAATATCTGAAATATTACTTTAGATGGTAAACGCTTTAAGCTGTAGAGAAGGATTTGACTGGAATTTTTATAGTACTTTTTTTTTTTTTTGTCTATTTTTAATTAGGCTTGTTTCTATTTTTCCTCTTTCATCAATCTAATTTCTCAAATGCTTCAGGTTTTGTTTTGTAAAGGCCTAAAATGGGTTCCTGTTCTCCACAGCTCCGCACCTCCTTGATGGTGCTCCAGAAGAACTTTGCTTTGGCCAATCGAACGGCAGCACGTCGTTGAATTTACCTGCACCAGTTTGTGTGGAAACCCAACTGAGCCACTGAGACGGTTTGCCTCTGAGGAAGTCCCCGCCACCCACAGGATGTTGCTCTGTTTGCTTCCCCAGATGTGCCATGTGTTGCCAAGGATTGCACAACAGATGCCAGGATGCTTTTTTAAATTTTATTTTAAACCTGCAAACTGACTGCTGGGATGATGTTCAATCAGAATCGGCTGCACATGAAGCAGCAGGTTTGGTCTCTTGTTTTTGCCTTTTTTTTTTTTTTTTTTTTAAATTTTGTCAATGCTTTGTGTTGTGCCATGTGCAAGAAACTACAGGTACTGTAAATTTTACAGTTTTTAACTTAATATTTAAAATGTCTTAATTTTTACGTGTCTTGTGAGTTGAATTTTATTGGTTTCTAATAAACTGTTGAATCAGTCACTAAGACTTGTCTAATCTCTAATTGTTTTGTGACATTTGCCTTTTTTCATTTTTTGTGTAGTTGACTTGTGTGCATTGTCGGTACTGGGTTGGTTTTAGTGCTATTGATACGAGATCATTTAAATGTCACTGGTGCCTGGTGATCACGAGGTTCTTAGCCTGTTTTGATGTTTACAATGTTTAATTTTTGATAAACGATGCACAACTTACTACATTTTTAACATGCAGGGTGGAAACCAACCACCTTGTCTGCAGTTTTGCGCATCATGCAAGATTTTATTTTCTCCTGGATGTATAATTTTTCGTTTCCTCTTTACACTTTAACTCGTAGCATTTCTCAATGTATTGAAATGTACATGAAGCTATTAAATATTTTCCTCCCTGGATTTACTGATCAACTTTGAAATTTTACTGATACTTTGAGACTAAAGTTAATTAAAGTTGGAGAGAGTTTAAGGGGACAAATGGTGAATCTTTAGACAGGTATGGTGTTCTGATCAGTTATTCTGGGAGCATGTTGGGGGTGGGGCCAAGTTCAATTAAAGAACAATTTGGAGGCTTTTGTGTGTATAATATGCAATTAATGTAGATTAAACCACACATCAATTTTATTTGAGTAAAGTGCTCTTGGTAAAAGTGCCCATTAGTTGGCCTTTTATTCTTTAGCTAGCCTTCTACTTTTAGCTAGTGTTTAGCTAAAATGATTTTAGCTGGTGTTAGCTCCTAGTTTAGTGTCAATAACCCAGTTTGAGATTCTTATTCTGGATCGAGAGGAATGCTGGTTTAAGAGTAAAAGAAGCTATCTTTATGAAGAGAAACCGTCCATTAAACGGGCGAAGGCTCGCAGTGTCCAGTTGTTACCCATTACAATGCTGTACGTGCCTGGCACATCTCAGAAGAAGCTGAAGCTGACCGCTACCATCTGAGCAGAAAACTTTCTGTAGGTTTGTCTCCATCTATCTACTCGTTCAACATTAACATGTTCACTTTGTGGGGAAAACTTTCATCCCAGCACATTGTCCCAGAGCACCTACCAAATAAGGAGTGTCAGTTTCGGCCAGGTGGACGTGAAGACGGTTGCAAAACTTCTCCCATCCTCGGCTGCTGTATGCTGAAGATTTAGGGTTGATTTCTTTCAGAGTTCATGGGCGTAATCATTGTGGGTGCTTGGTTTGAGGCCTACATTCGCCTCAGCCAGATGGTTGAGTCCTCTTTTCGGTCTGCAGGACTTTCACCCTTTTCCACTGTGTCGAGTCTTAGCATGAAAGTGTTTTCAGGATTTTATTTAAGTTTTTCCACAACATTGTAGTGGACTAGGCCCATGTCAAAACTGACCAGATGGACAGAGACTGTTATTTCATTGATCTGCATCCAGAAATACAGTTTGAGCCATCTGGAGACTTTCTTTCTTGAAGTAATCAAGTAGAAAAGACAATTCTCTATGATCATTACTATTTTACAAATGTTTGATAATCAAATTGTGTTAGTTCACTCAATGTTTACAGGTTGAAGAGAACTACTCATTTTATTTACATAAACAGTAAGTAATGATTTTTATTCCTCATTCAAAGAAGAAATCAGGTTAATATGCATTTCTTGATTTTTCTGTCTTCAATGAGCAAATTTGTAAGTATGTTAAAGTTCAGGCTTCGGTCAACTAAAATGTTTACTGAGAAGAAATGTCATGTTTAATCTTTACAGCAGATAATCAGAGTAGAGGCTCCACGAAGTCTCGTTTTCTCCAATAATCTTTCTGTCTGTTTTAAGCAATCTCATTCTCTGCCCTTGACTTTGATAACACCTTACATCACAAACCACACCTCTGATCTGGTCCATCCACCAATCAGAAAGCTCTAAAATGACCCGGAAGTCAACTCATTTAAATGTGGCAACTTCCCGGTTCTCCCCAGAGAGTTAAAAGAGTTAAAGAGCTAAGAGTTAGAGTTACAAAGATTGGCAGTTCTCCTGGAGAAGAGAGATGAAAAACTCTCTGATGCAGCTCAGGATGCAGAGAGGATTTTGGGAGTTACAACTTCTGTTTGGATAACCTCGCACGACTCTCTAAGGGTTTGGCTGTCCTCATGGAGACGCTGAAAGAGTCAGAAAGGAACTCCGCACCGACGCTGATTATCATCTGCAAGGTAAAAGGTTCTATTTTCGACCAAGCGTACCGTGGCCAAGCTGATTCCCCAAAGAGCGTGTTGTTCTGGTCCCACAGATAAACTCCCTCACACATCTCTCTGTAAGATAAATCTCCATTTTCCATCTTAAACTCTCCCTTCTCCTAAAATCATTACAGATATTTTAGAAATATCTGAAGCAAAGTTCTCAATCACCGCCGTGTGATTGATGTCTGTTGTTCTGCTGAGAAGTGAGGACAATCTCCGTATTGTTCCAACTTTCTGTGAACTTGCCATTGTTATTGTTTTCATATTTTGCCAAATTAATGTAAATGTTTGATGTTAAACTTTGATTCTGCAAATAAATGACCGCATTCATTTGATGGGTCAAAGATAATTAACGTCTCTCTCGTTACATTTTCGTTAAACTCATGCTCATGCACGACATTTACACAGTCAGAAAGATGAAGAACTCGTGAAAAATGTATGAATATATCCAATTATGTCATACTACAACATTATGTTCTAACAATATTAAACACATTTCAGACATTGCGCTTTACTCGCACAATTGACATTTCCATGTTCCTTTCTTGGCTTTTTGATAAACTGTGCAAGTTAGATTTAGGCGTTGGACATGGAACCATCTGTTAGTCGTCACACTGGATCTGTTAAAGTATATATATATATAAAGTTCATATTATAATCCTTTGCTTAGGGTGTTTACTTGCTTATTTCAATTCAATTTATTTATATAGCGCCAAGTCACAACAGAAGTCGTCCGAGGGCACTGAACAGAAATATTCATATATCCAAAATAATTTCACATAATTTATCTCAGGACTGCTCAGCAGACTGCTTTGAATTCAAGTCCATCACAGAACTCTCATCTTGAGCAAGCATGAAGGCGACAGCCTACTCATAGTTACACCTTTCAATTTTTACAAATACACACCCGACTGCTCACATGGTCTCACCCAGTCTGTTATTGCAGGTCCAGACACTGGGGGTTTATGGGCAGCACACATGGCACAACTGTGCTCATCTAACACTAGAAGAAAGAGAACAAAATCAATTTAATTGATACATAATACATTTCTATGCTGTACATAAGAGGTGCATGTTGGATACCATGCTGCATCAAGGATTTGAAGAGCAAGGTCTCTTCTGGCACTTTGGATTAATAGCCTTTTTAGACGTTTCAAATTTCACATCTGGCATCCATGGAAAAGGTTTCCATCAATGCTTTTGCCAGCTAAAACAAAACATTACTATTAGATACTATTTTTAAAATCATAATAATGCAACACATCTTTGCAATTGACATATTTTATAGATAACATCCACACATATAAAAAGATGTGAAAATCACAAAATTTGAAATTGGAAGACACATTTATCAATACAAAACCCATGATGACCCCAGTTCTTCTGTTAAACAACCACACAATCCATTAAGAATCTCTGGATTATTTATTCTCCAGGTACACAAACGCGTACGGTCTGGCTGAACTAACTCATATAATTTTAATTGACCTATACTAGTTACTAACATTTTGCATACATGTACGCATGCATATGATTTAAACAAAGCGTTCTCGTCTTACTTTGACAACAAGGATGCCACAGCTTCTTCCATCCTGTTGAACAGGGTGGCACATAATTCCCCCTTTGCATTTAACAGTTGTCCAGTCTGTTTTCCCATGAAGTCTCCTCATCTGGAAGTATTCCCTGTTAATGCATTAACAGTTTTGAGTACAAGAAATTTTAGACAAGCACCCCATTGTTTTTAAAACATGAATAAAACTAGTTATTCCTTAAACTGTAGTATGTTTGTATAAATATTGAAACATTTATTCATTGTTGATTTACTGTATATATTTTTTTGCAGGACAACTGGAGTCTTCAAGCTCTGATACTTGTGCAGGATCCATGAGAAAAGCTGTGCCGTCTTCTGCATGAATGTACTGCAACAAAACAAAGGAAATGAACCATAAAACGAAAATTAACTTAAGCTGATCTAAAATTGCATAAAATAAAACCGTAAAACAATCCACAAAATTCAAAAAGGGATACAATAAATCTAGACTAAAAAAAAGTGACTTTCTGAAATGTGTTGAATTTTACTTATTCACTTGTATAAACTTGGAGAATAAACCTCCTTGATCCCAGTAGGACTTGTAATTTCTAATTCAATAATTACTAGGTTTACGTACAGCAAATGCTTTATTGATATACCTATTCAGTCAGCAGAATGATTTTTTGTGTCTTTTCCATCTGTGTGGAATACAATAACCATAACTTATTAAAGAAATGTGTTAGTAAGTACTTAAATAAATACAGTACTTTAATATTGTAGGTGCATATCAAAACAATCATGTAATCTTTTCTCCAAACTAAATGATAACGTAAGCGTAGAACGCAACATCCATCCATCCATCCATCCATTTTCTTTACCCGCTTATTCCATTTTGGGTCACGGGGGTCGCTGGTGCCCATGTCCAGCAATCACTGTGTGAGGGGCGGGGTACACCCTGGACGGGTCGCAAGTCCATCACAGGGCCACATAGAAACAAACGAGACAAACAACCATTCACTCTTTCACTCACACCTAGGGACAATTTAGAGTTACCAATCAGCCTAACATGCATGTTTTTGGACTGTGGGAGGAAACCGGAGTACCCGGAGAAAACCCACGCATGCACGGAGAGAACATGCAAACTCCACCCAGAAAGGCCCCTGGACCGGGGTTTGAACCAAGGACCTGCTCGCTGAGAGGCAGCAGCTCTGTAGAACGCAACATATAAAATACAAAAAAAAAGCTTAAACAATGACATTAAAAAAACAACAACTTTGTTTTGAGTGTTGGGAAAGTAATTTCAAATTTTCTGGAGAATAATTTAAATTTTTCAGGGTCAAATTCAACGTAGATCAACATTTTTTATGATAAATTCTAATTATAGATACATTTTTTTGTGATGTGCATTTATATCAACCAAAATCAAATTAATTCACATACTTCCAATGAAAAAAATGAATAAATAGGAACAATTTAAAACTTGCTAGTATAATGTTTTATGGCAAACTTTATGAAAATGTTCTAGCCTTTCCAGCCCTAATTATTTTCACAGACTTTATTAATTTAAACCAGATTAAAAAGTTGCTGTACAAAGTTAAGACACATACAGTGCATAACAAGTGAAACAAAACTTATCTGTGAACCTTTGTCACGATCTTGAGCTCCTTTTATTATGTTCACTCGAGCGAAATCTGAAGTCTTGGGCTTTGGTAGTTTCTTTAGAGCAGGGGTGTCAACCTGCAGGCCTCCAGGGCCGGTGTTGTGCCACATTTGGTATCCCGGAAATAATCTCTTCCCCCAACAGAGGGGGCGCTCGCCTGAAAGTTCGGCATAATAAAACGGTCATTTCTTTAATAACATGCATAAACACAGACATGTAAATCAATAAGTCAGTTGTATAACTGTTGCTCTGTGGCCATAAAGGCTTTGCACGACAGCGGCATTAAAAGGCGGCATTATCATGCCTAATCTCGCGAGAGCAAATCCAAATCTCGCGTGAGCAAATGAGACCAGCGGGAGCGCAAATGACATTCGTGCGCGCGCTCCTCCAGTGTAGGTATGGCGTATCCCCGTATGGCGTATCCGGCATTTTTTGCGTGAGGAAGCGTTGTAAAAGTGTCTTAGTGGAATTGAGAGCTTGCCATAAAACGGGAAACAGACGAATGACAGCCAGACTCGCCGGAAGCGACTGCTGCCGCCTGGACCGTGACTTCCGCGCGGAGGTAACTAGGCTCGGTCGGTTCTGGAAACTTAGCAGCTTCATGTTCAGGTACGTTCAAGTAACTGCGCTGGTAAATACATATCAGGAGTATTTCTTGTCCCTGATATTACTTTGAGTTAAAAATATAAGGAGCATCTGTTATATATTATTTTGGTGTCATTAACTCACACTTTCCCTCTGAAATCCAATTTACCAAAACAATGAAAAGAAAGTACATGCAAATTCAATTGCTTTAAATTGATCTAAATGCTTATTTTATTAGTTTAAACCGTTTAATATATATAAAAAATAAAATTAGTGCCACAGGGCATCATTTGTGGAATTATTAACACGTTATGATGGATTTAAAATCAATATGTGTTGTTACAGGACTTTATTTGGTTCTGTTAATATCACAATCAACTGTTTAAGTTTTGTATTTATTTCTAACAAATGTTTGTGGTATCTGGACAGTTTGAATCAGAACATGTTGCAATTTTAAAAACTATAGTATTTTTTAAAAACAAAACATTTTAAACAAAAGGAAAATAAATCTAACTGTTGTGTATAGATATAAAGATGAAGATGCTGGAATGTGTGATTGGTGATGGATTATACCTGAAGATAAAGTCCCTATAGTCCCTAGGTGAGAATTAGCTTTTTGACAGATTTAATAGGTGAACCAAAAGTTGTAGAGTTACATAAGAATGCTAGAAACACCATAAGAGCACAAGAAGACACAGAGATGAAGGGTGACATATGGTTTGAAGAGCCATAAATCTTAATCCTAATCCCAACTGTAAAGGCATTCGAAGAACAGCTGTTGTAAACAAGCCATGCTTTGATTGGGTCAAAGACTAATTTGGATCCTCTCAGCAGAACTGGGATCCCACGGCAGAAAGAAGTTTGACTCTTGACGGATGAATTCTAGTTTCAGGTTCTCTTATAAAGCACTCACTGTTTGATTGGGGGTGGGGGGGGGACCGTGACTGTTATAAACTCTGACAACACCTCAACCTAAATCCATCTGTGCTATAAATAAAGCAACAAGACGTACTGGTGGGATAGCATCGTTACTGTAAATCATGAAACACGACAGATGTGTGACAGATGTGGGGGGAAGCAGATGGATATGGGTTGGGTCAAATGAGCAGGGTCTGCAGTTTGGAACCGCTAAATCGAAAACTCACTGAAACTTTTGATAATCTGCTGTATGCAAAGATTATTTAAGCTGCGAGAGTCATTTCTGTGGCTCATCCATCACTTTATTCAGAATACTCGCACAAAGACAACAATGCTAAAGGCTTCTTCAAACGTCTCACAGGCCGCAGTGCTCGTCATCATGAAGAAGCAGGCCAAGAAGGTGCCGAAGGAGGAGGAGGAGGTCTTGTGTTGCTGCGAGTATGTGAACCGACGTGGAGAGCGAAGTCATGTGGCAGCTTGTTGCTGTGACTGCGAGGACCTGGACGATGCCTGTGACCGGTGAGCGAAGCTAAACGCACACCGTCTCTGCAGGAGAGACAGCAGGCTCAAATCGCGGCAGTGGCGTTCATACTGGCACTTCTGGTGTCAGGTGCCATGTTGCATCTGGCTTCACTGGCACCTGCCGCCAATTTACTGGCAGCTGCCACGCTGCTGTGGCACCTGCCGCTAGTTTACTGGCACCTGCCAGGGATTTAGTGGCAAATGCCAGTAAATTAGCGGCAGGTGTCAGTAAATAAGCGGCAGGCGCCAGTAACTAGTGGCAGGTGCCAGTGAAGCCGGATGCAGAGTGGCACCTGACACCGGAAGTGCCAGTACGAGTACCGCTGCCGCGATTTGAGCTCGGCCCTGCTGGAGGAGCAAAACGGTAGCAAAAGCTAAAAGGAGCAAGATAGTAACTAAAAGCTGCAAAATGAAGAGGAAACTAAAAGCTAAAATAAGCAAAATTGTAGCTAAAAGCTAAAATGGTAGCTAAAAGGAAGCTAAAAGGTAAATGGACTGTACTTATATAGCGCCTTTCTATCTTATTTCAAGATACTCAAAGCGCTTTACACTACAATCTGTGTCCTCGTTTACCCATTCATACAGCGCTCTACTAGATCTCTACAAGGTGCAAATGTTAACTAAAAGCTGAAAGGTGCAAAACAGTAATTGAAATGGAAAAATAAGTAATAATATCTAAAATGAACAGAACAGTAGCTGAAAGTAGATTTTACTGCTCTGGTCTTTACTTGGTCTCAGCTTTAAACTTTGAGCTCTAACCACTGGTCACAAAGTCATTTGGCCTCAAGACTCTGATTTTGGCCCAGTTTTAGATGATCTTAATACAGAAAGGCTGACTATGCAGAAAAAAACTTATTTCAGTTTTCAGATATGAACTGTTGAACATTTGTAGATTTGTCTGAAGCAACATTGACGAGGAATAATAACTTGGGGATCAGTGATTGTTTAGGGCTGCTTCTTGACTAAATTACCACATTATTTTTTTTATAAACCATATTCAGAGTAATATTAGGTCATGCTGGTGACCACATATCCTGGTGATGAGTTTCTTGAATCTCGTTTTTGATTTGATGGGATTTAGTAATAGTAAGAAAGTCACAATATTTCTGGTCAAGTTTCGGCTCCATTTATTTACAGAGTTCTAAATATTTTTTTCAGGTTTCTGAAGAAGGAGCCTCAGAAGTCTGAGTCCTTGTCTCAGATAGCTGCAGTCGTCTCCGACCGGATTCGTGTCCCCTGGTTGTGGGGCGGAGCTCAAAAACTAGATCTGTCCATCATCCCTCCTCTTCTTCTCCTTCCTGCCTTGCTGCACCTCGCTGCGCTCCACTTCCTGCTTGGCATGGTGGTTCTTACGGCTCTGCCCGGCTTGGTGTTGTGGTATTACTATTTCACCCACCGCAAGAAGGGACGGACGCTGTTCTTCCTCAGCCTGGCGCTCTTCTCGTTGGGCTACATGTATTACCTGTTCATCTCGGAGGTGCTTCTGCGTGGGGATGTGGGACAGGTGGAGTTGGCGGCTGTAAGTTTAGGGGTCATCTTCACCCTGCTCGCCTTTCTCCACACCAGAAGAGGTCCTGGCGTCGTTCGGCCAAACAAAGAGGCCATCCACAGCACGGTGACGTATTACAGCCCCTTGCCAGACAGAGACTCCTCCCTCAACGGGGGCAGGCAGGATGATTTGATGACCGCGACCCACTGGACGGGGTCATCGGAGCAAGAAGGGGCAGAAAGCAGCCCGAGGAACTGGTGCTCGGTGTGCCGGGTGGCGCGGCCTCCAAGGGCGGGGCATTGTCGGATCTGTGGCGTCTGTGTGCTGCGTCTCGACCACCACTGCGTCTGGTGGGTGTCATAAACTGTCAATGTCACTTATTTCCCCCCCTAAATCATGACCGCCTTCACTCTGAGCACAAATAAGCTATAATGTAACATTTTGTCAAGTTAACATCAAACACGCATTCATGACAGGAAGTTAATGTTTTCTCATCAGCTCTCGCTGATATCCGTGTGGAGTCTCAGAATGATGTCTGCTTGTTTGTGTCGTCGCTGTGCTTGTGCGCCCGGGCAGGATAAACAGCTGCGTCGGACAGGCCAATCACCGCAGCTTCCTGCTCACACTCCTCTTCTTCCTGACGACGTCCCTGTACGGCATCAGCCTGGTGCTGCGGAGCGTGTGTCCACGGCGAAACCTCGTCACCGCATTAATCTACTGCCCTGGAGTTTACAACCAATACAGGTACAAAAGAAACAGGAATATAAGATGTGTTTGTAACTTTTACCCAAGACATTAAGTCATGGTTATGAAGTATTAATAACATTTAATCGCCAAACATTTGGTTTTGACAGATGTTTTTCTATTAAAACACTAAAATAAACTTCTATGTCCTGTTTAGTATTTGTAATAAAATCCCTTCTGTACTTCCTTTTCAGGTTTTCCATGTTGTTTCAAGGTGTTGGATATTAAATGTGTAAAGAGTGTGTAATTAAATTCAAGCTTTGTTACAACATTTCTGCAACACCGCCTCCAGCAGCGTTTTCTGCACAGATTTTTTTCTATGTGGTAATTGCTGCAAGCACAGCATCTCTACAAAGTTAAAATAGTCTTTTTAGTACATTTATATACATAAATGTGTCTCTTTAAGTGTCAGCTTGACCAATACTACAGGTATTTGATGTATTCAGACATTAGGATTGTGACGAGAACAAAAAAATCCAACATTTTACGGACTGTTGTTACCGTATTTTTTGGATTATAAGGCTCACTGTTGATTTTTTGAGAAAATTTTAAGTGCGCCTTATAGTCCAAAAAATATGGTACTTGAAGTATTTGCTGATAGCAGACGTTATCCACACTGAACGTTAACTTAAAGTCTAAATTTGGTGCTATGTAACAAAAAATAAGGAAGTGTGTTCAGTATCTACTCAGACGTCCTGCTGAAAGCCTCAGATTTGAACACGTGAATGGATTTGAGAAGCTAGCCTTGTTAAATAAAATCCTAATGCGACAGTATAAGATAAATTAAGTTTTAAAAATGTCAATCATTAAAGTACTTCAAATCCCTTAACGAATATCTAGAGCAGAAAATGGGAATTCTTTTGGAATGGGAATACTTTGTCATGCAATACTTGAGTACATAAACATGTCTCGAGTATCGTTCAGAATTATACTGAGAAAATAGAGTAACATTTTTACATTTACAGCTTTATAATATCTGCTTAAAAGGTGCATGAATAATTCAGGAGCTCATAGAAGCAGAAATCAGTAAAAGGCCTTTTTCTCCAACAACTGAGCAAAACTCTTTTTTTTTGGCTCAGAGAAACTGTTTTAACTGAGACGTCATGGGGAGTTTTGACATTTTTCCCAGATAGAATGGATCTTTTTTTTTTTTGTGACATTCTTGGCTATTGAATGTCAAACTTCCTCCTCTGTGAAGTTAAATCAGCTTTTTAGAGCTCCTCTAAGGACCGCTCATCAAAACACAAGGAGTGAAAGTAGTTAAAAGGGTCTGTGCTGGCACTACTCCAGGCTTCGTACAATTAAAACCGACATAATTCCAGTGAATCACTATTATTCACTCAGTTTCAGTATGAGCAAAGCTTCCTTTTAAACTCCTCAAACACATTTACTGTTCAAAAACTTATGCGTTGTCAATACTGGTAATTGTGTGAATGCTTATGTTCTGGTTCAGCTTCTTTCAGCTTCCTTGTGCAAATCTAAACTTTTGTTCAGCTACTTTCAGCTGTTTTGTGCTTCTTTCTGCGAACTAAAACATTTTTGTGCTTCTAACTTCTTTCTGCTTAATTTCAGCTACTATTTAGCTGTTTTTATGTTAATTTGAGCTTTTTTAGCTAATTCCACATTTTTTGCACTACCGGTAATTTGAACTTCTGTCAGCCTAATTCAGCAAAAATGTCCTCTCTCCACGTCCTTTTGGCAATTTAAGCTTCTTTCTACCTTTTTAGCTACTTTTCAGATTATTTTTTTGTTGTAGCTATTTTTTTCTTCCAGATAATTTCTACTTTTTTGTGATCATTTCGGCTTCTTTCAGCCTAATTTAGCAAACTTGTTCTGCTTTCTTATGCTAATTTAAGCTTGTTCTACCTGATCTGCTACCTTTTAGCATATTTTAGCCAATTTGGGCCGTTTTCAGATAAATTCAAGTTTTTTTGTGGTAATTTCTGCTACTTTCAGCCTAATTAACTTCTTTCTGAAAATTTCAGCTTTTTATGCCCCTTTCCCCTTACGATAATTATGCAAGTTTCAGTTTTTTTCTGCTATTTCAGCTACTATTTAGCTGTTTTATGCTAATTTTAGCTTTTTCAGCTAATTTCACATTTTTTGCACTATTTTCAACTTCTGTCAGCCTAATTAAGCAAAAATGTACTCTTTCCAATTCCTTCTGGTAATTTAAGCTTCTTTCTGCCTTTTTAGCTACTTTTCAGTTTTCTTTTTTGTTGTTGTTGCTAATTTCAGTTTTTTTTTTCCAGATAATTTCCACATTTTTGTGATCATTTTGGCTTCTTTCAGCCTAAATTGGCAAACATGTTCTGCTTTCTTATACTAATTTAAGCTTGTTCTACCTGTTCAATTACCTGTTTAGCATTTTCTAGCTAATTTAGGCTGTTTTCAGATAAATTCAATGTTTTTGTGGTAATTTCTGCTACTTTCAGCCTAATTAACTTCTTTCTGAAAATTTCAGCCTGTTATGCTCTTTTCCACTTATGGTAATTATTCAAGTTTCTGCTATTTTAGCTACTATTTAGCTGTTTTATGCTAATTTTAGCTTTTTCAGCTAATTCCACATTGTTCTTAACTCATGTCAGCTTTCTGCTTCTTTCTGGTAGTTTAAGCTTCTTTCTGTATTTCAGATACTTTTCAGCCATCTTTTACTCATTTCAGCTTTTTTTTAAGCTAATTTCCTAATTTTTGTGCTAATTTCTGCTTATTTTTAACTTATTTCAGCAAATATGTGTCCTTTCTTTCTTCTGCTAACTTAGGCTCGTTCTTCCATTGCAGTTACATTTCAGCGTTTAAAAAAAAACTAATTTCAGCTGTTTCTCAGCAAGTTCTTCAATAAGCATTCACACTGCGTTTTCACAAGAAATGCAACTTCTCCAGTTAATGTATGAAAATAAGGAGCTACATTGTGATCATCAGTGATCGACCTGTTTTTTTGTGCAGTTAATATTTATCACTTTACCTCTTTGTGTTTTCCAGCACTGCACTTTGTTTCACCTGTGCGTGGTACAGCAGTATAGTGACCGGCGGGCTGCTCCATCTGCTGTTAGTGCAGGTCATCAATATCAGCTACAACGTGACCGAGCGAGAGGCGCGAGCCGCCCTGAGAGAGAGAACTGCACGCAGCGCTTACTGGGGGCTCGTCGTGGACACTGGTGTTTATTCTCAAGGCCTGCGTGGGAACTGGTCCGAGTTCATGACCATGGGAGACAAGCTGAAGCCTGTTTCTTCTTCAGATGTAGTTTGACTTCTGTCAGTAGTTCTGTCGTCGTCCACTAGATGGCAGCTTTACTTCATACAAGCTCTATCAGTCAGCTGTTTGCAGTGGAGTCACTTTATCTCTATGCAGCCTTGGAGTTGCACAGACTCTGACTCTTCAGCTTCACACCCCGATAATATGCGTTCACTGCCTTTAATGTGACAACATGTCATCTATGCAGCTGAATCCACGCTTGAATCACTCTTCTCTTAAGAAGTCTTCCTTTGGACCTGAACTCTGACTTTGTGTGTCTGCTACATTTTAGTGCCTCGATGCATGAAGGAGAACTCAAGCTGTAGGAACATTTTCAACAATAAGACGACACCACTGGGCGTTTGTTGATTTACTTACTAAATGTACAGTTTGCTCTCTGTACCTCGTTTGTCAAACACTGATGGCCTTACTTTGCCTTGCAGATTGTGAAATATGAATGAAATATCTAAGTACCGGGCTAATTTTAGGTAATCAAGCAGCTGATTGCATTTGTATAAATCCGTTTTTAAACTGTCAACATGTTCCTTCATGAAACCGCTTTAAACTGTCCAAATAGCAGATAGCTCAGCAAATATCAGCTTGAGGATAAAAACCTTTTTGCTTTCCACTGCCAATGCTTTTTACTCTTTAAACAAACTCAAAGGTCAAATTTATTTAAACGTTCTGCCTTTCAAAAGTGCTGAATGCACACTACAATAAAATAAAAGTAGTAACACAATTGTTAATACAAAAACAAGTGAATAAAAATCAGAATAAATGAGTAGAAACAGCTATTTTTTTTCTTGTACTGTATGTATTTACATCTAAATACAAATAGTCACTCAAAGCCTTTGGTTGCATATTTGTATTGGTTGTGTTTTGTGTTTGTGGATTTTCTATAAACCAATTTGATTTATTTTAATAAATAAATCTGAGAAACGAGCAGGCATTTTTCTCATCCGTCCTCTCCGGAGTGATGTGCGTGTCTTTTTTTTTTTTTTTTTTGTGCGACTCAGCACTTTTTCCGTCGTTAGTCGGTTTCACATGATGGATAGGAGCAGAAATCAGGTAAAACCTCAGCTATTTTCCTGCTAAGCTTCTCCCGCCGCTTGTCCCGCTCCCTCTCCCTGCACAGCACACGTGGAAGCTGCGTCCAGGCCAGGAGACACCTTTGCAGGATCCGTCTAATGTGCAAACAGACGGAAACGGAGCATTAAATCGGATTAAAGGGTCCTCGGGGTTGACAAGTAATTAGTTGTATTTCAAGTTTGTTGACAGTGGCAGCTGGTGGGTTTTCACCTGGAACCTGTGGTCACCTGAACAGCTGAAGTTTCAACAAGTTTATAGGACTGACAAAAACCTAATTAGTTGTCTAGTATGGATGTTTTATGTGCCTACTGACTGAAACAAATTGCCCCTGGGGGACAATAAAGATTCTTGAACTTGAAATAACTATTTTCTGATCATCAATGATCGAAAAATCACATATTTTGGTTTATTATTCACAAGTCTATTTGTCAGACCTAAAAATGAAATGCTAATAAAATGAATGACTAGGCCTGTCGCGATAAACAAATCAATTAATCGCACGATAAATGAAAATTATCGACCTCATTTTCATTTATCGGCTTTTTTATTAACTAACATTTCTTCTTAAATTTGACAATAATTACTAATTATTGTCAAGTTTAAGAAGAAATGTTTAATTTGTTTTGTGTGTAGTACCTTTTTTCAACCACCAGATGGTATAAAACTGTTTGAACCAAAGGATGGATAGTGAGGGAGCGAGCAGCGTGTCTCTTTAAGAAAAATGAGAGGGAGGCCCCTTGACGTGACATGGGCTGCCTCTCGTTCCTTATTTCAGTTCCCAAAATGGCAGACGCTCTGTGTGATTTGAGCTCTTTAGCATAGCATTTTTCACACAAAGATTTTAATTAAAAAAATCAGTAAACAAGTTCTCAGCTTCTTTTTGCAGAGAAAAAACTTTTTACACAAAGGCACAGGTTTCAACCGTGAATTTTGGAGCTTCGACAGACGGAGGTTCCCCCCCCCCCCCCGAGGTCAGCCTGTTAGCTTAGCTCGTAGCTTAGCTTCTCAACTTAGCTGCTTTTAACGATCCAAAAACACAATTTTGGACAGTTAAAATGGATTTTAAAGAGAAAATGGAAAGGGAGGGGTCAGTGAAGCACACCGGAGTTGAGCTTTTTGTCATCCAGTGTCTTCAGAAGAAAGAGACACGAAGAAATGATAAAGCCGATAAATGAAAATGAGGTCGATAATTTTAATTTATCATGCGATTAATCGATTTATTGTTTATCACGACAGGCCTACGTTTAGCATCATCACATTTTGGGTTTCTCATGACAAATTTTTTTTTACAGATTGATTTAGAGTTACCACTTTTCAGCGACCTGTCAACGCTGTGAATACGTTTTAAAGTCAGGGATGGAGCAGACCTGTTCCTGTGCTCCTGTGCCTGTTGCAGACGGTCCCACTCCATCAGCCTCTCCTGGGTCACGTGATCCAGCAGAGCAAGCAGAAACCTCCTCAGAGTGCGTCTGCGGTAAAAACGCTCAGCTCGCTCTTCCTGAATCATCCGCTTGTCTCTCAGCTGAAACGAATAATAAAGAAAAAGACGGTATGAATGTAGAACATAAGCACAACTTTATTGTGTGAATGTTTATGAAGCATTCACACTATTGTGATCAATTTTTCTTCCGTACATTTTTCAGCATCTTTTTCGTTCCACAATTTTTGTGCTATTTCAACAAATCATCAACCAAAATGTTCAGCTCTTTCAAGACAATCCTGCTATGACTCTTAATATTGGTGCAACTTCAGCTTTTTGAAATATTTAGCATTTTCTGCCATTTTTTGCTCATAGAAAATGAATTGAACTCATTTTACATCCTTCAAATCTTTAGCTCTATTTACAACGTTTTACTGCTCCTTTCACATCTTGTTCTGGTTCAGCTTCTTTCAGCTTCCTTGTGTAAATTTAAACTTTTTTTCAGCCAGTTTCAGCTGTTTTGTGCTTCGTTTGGATTATTTCTGCTAACAACATTTTTGTGCTTCTTCTAACTTCTTTCTGCTAATTTCAGCTTGTTATGCTCCTTTCAGCTAATGTATGCAAGTTTAAGCTAATTCTGCTATTTCAGCTACTGTGTAGTTGTTTTATGATAATTTTAGCTTTTTCAGCTAATTCCACATTTTTTGCACCCATTTCAACCTTTTTCAGCAAAATGTACTCCCTACACCCATTTGGTAATTTAAGCTTATTTCTGCCTTTTTAGCTACTGTACTTTTCAGCTGTTTTTTTAAATGATGTTGTTAATTTCAGCTTTTTTCAGATAAATTTCCACTTTTTGTGCTCATTTCTGCTTCTTTCAGCCTAATTGGGCAAACGTGTTCTTTCTGCTTTCTTCTACTAATTTAAACTTGTTCTACCCTTTTTTTTTGTTGCCATTTTAGCTAATTTCAGCTGTTTTCAGATAAATTCAAGTTTTTTTGTGGCAATTTCTGCTTCAGCCTAATTAACTTCTTTCTGATCATTTAAGCTTGTTATGCTCCTTTCAGCTTTTCTCTGCTAGTTTCAACTTTTTCTATTTCAGTTACCTTTTAGCTGTTTTAGTGCTAAATTTACTTTTTTCAGATAATTCCACATTTTTCCCCCACTCATTTCATCTCCTTCCACTTCTTTCGGGTAGTTTAAGCTTCTCTGTGTCTTTTCAGCTACTTTTCAGTGATTTTTGCTAATTTCAACTTTTTTAAGCTAATTTTTTGTGCTCATTTGTGCTTATTTAAACCTAATTCAGTAAATATGCATTATTTTGCTTTATTCTGCTAACGGGCTTATTCTTCAATTTCAGCTACATTTCAACATGTTTTTTGTAGCTAATTTCAGATGTTTTTCCAGCAAATTCTTCAGCAATAAGCATCTACACTGCATTTTTTGCAGGAAATGCAATTTCTCTAGTTCCATGTAGTTTTGACAATAAATTTGCTTATTGTTCAGTAAGTTATGGAGTGCTCTGACAAGAGAAGAAAATATTTTATTTTTTTACAGCTGTACACCTGAACACACATTTAGTCTTTGCAGAGAAGATTACAGACAGGAGTAACAGTTTATATGTGTATTATCAGGGGAATACAAACCATTTTCCAGCAGTTTAAGCTCCTCCGAAGCAGAAAATGATGGTTAAGCTGGTCTGCACACGCCTCTCTCTCAGACACAGACCCTCTCACGCACTGCCACCACTCCAGAGTGTATTGTCTCAGGAGGAAGAGATTGTGACGACGCTCAGCAAGCTGGCAGGAAGTGAGAGATCAAAAATGTACACTAATTTATATTTATGAAATAAAAACAATAGACTGATTTATACACTGAAACAATAAAAAGCAACATTTAGTTTACGTGTTAAATAATGTATCACAGACTGGTGTCGAGTGTATATTCTTTTGTTGCTTTTGGCGTTTATTTTATTCATCAGTCACAACTATCAATTTACTAAAGGTTTTATCTGCGAATAAAAAGGGTGCACCTATTGTTTTTATTGTTAAATAACTTAAGACTTTCAAAAAAATCCCTGCCAGTTAAAACATACATAATAAGAAGGTGTGCATGTACATGTATACAATTATAAGAGAAGAGTGCAATAAATAAAACTAATCTTTGCATACACAAATGTAAGAAATGTCATAAAAATAAGACAAAGAATAGCATTTTTAAATGGCTATTTAGAAATTTTGGGGGGATTTTCTGAATATTTTTAGTAGAATTTATGTACAAATTTTATCTAATAGGCAATACAATACATCATTCCAGTTTTTTTTTTTTTAAAAGATCAGATACAGTAATGGTCTATCAGCCAATTAAAAAAAAATCCAGCTTTATAAAGATGTGTTGTATCAAAAAACCTAAGGTTTATAAGTTATTTGGAAACATTAATGAAAATAACAGCATAAAAGTGGACCGTGAAATTGAGGCAAAAATGAGTAAAGTAAGAAAAATAACATCTGATTTTTTATGCTTTTTGAGGGGAAAAAAGGTTAATTTGCAAACTAAAGTCTTAAAAGTACATAAGCAGGGTTAGTTCAAGGTTCTTTATTGTCATTCGCATCACATGTGGTACATGAGGTGGAACGAAATTGTGTACTCAAGGTCCCAGTTACATCCAAAAATAGCAAAAATATAAACAAAAAAAAAAGAGCTAAACAATACTAATATACCAGTAATATAATACGGTGAATTAAAACAGCAGCCTGAACATGAGCCATCTATGAGCAGATGGGTATGAATGAAGCAGTTTATGGGTAAAAAATCAGCAGCATGGATAATCGGCAGCACAACGTGGCACCCATCTCATGCAGCTAACGCGTATCACCGAGTTTGTAACTTGAGATTGTTTATTTGGAAGGTTTAACGTTCTGTGGGATTATTGATGCCACAAAGTTTAGTCTGTCTCTCTTTAACCTCAGCAAACTAGGCCTTTTTACAGATTTGTGTTGTAGATTTATTAAATATGGTGTAGTTTGTGTGCCACATTTATTCTTCAAGATCGGACGTTTCCCTTCTCTGTTGCTGAACTCAGAGAACTAGACCAGATAAATATTCTATTCCCGCTGAGGACAAGAGTCTGGAGGTTTCGCTGGGCTTCTAACAGGAACTTTGGACTGAGGACGAGCTGATGTTGCCGTCTGACAGCTGCAATAAACGGGTGATTTACCTCCATGCTGGCTTGTCTTAACTGAATGAGGCGTTTCCATGGCGCCAGGCCTCGATGTGACAACAAGGTTCTGTGGTAGTGTTGACGGGCCAGTCTCATGAGCTCCTGATGCCTTTTCTGCTGCCTCTGCTTTTCCTCTTCCCTCTGAAGAGACATTATTTTGATCTTGTGTATCACACCAGAGACCATGCGATTGTTGTATACTTACTCGTTGGTACAGCTCACCTCTCTTGCCATCCTCTTCTCCTCCTTCCTTTTTTCTGCCGCCTTGCGTTTCTCCTCCTCTTCCTCCCTCTGCCTTTGCTCCTCAGCAGCTTTCAACTCAGCCTGAAAGGTTTTTAATTTTAATAGTTTGTGTGTGGCACTATCACTGTTTGAAAGGCTCAAAGCCTAATCATTACTCGCCAGCTTTTCGTCTTCTTTCTTCCTCTTGAGTTCCTCGATCTCCTTCCTTCGCTCTGCGCGCTGTTGTGCTCGGGCTTCCATGGCTTCAGAGAGATAGACCAGACATATGTGAGAGCTCTGTGGTGTCAGGATGCTGTTATCAAAGTAACAAAACCATTTCAAAACTCACTACAGTCATACGAGATCTTAAAACCAGCTAAGACCTCTTTGGGAATACAACTGACCACTTTATGTGCCATAAGTAGGCATAAATAAGGGACAGTGAACAGAAAAAGAGTTAAATATTGAGTTCAAGAGAAAAAGTTTAGGCAATGATGAGTGTTTATTATCACCTGCTGCTGGTTGATGGCTGCCTCAGACAACAAGCAACAAAAACACATAAAAATATAAGTTTTACAGATGTTGACCTAAAGTTTGATGTGGTAGTGGAAGGGAGTCATTCTCAACACATTCTCTGAGATTGAGAATGTGAACAACATTATTGTCAAGATTTGACCAAAACAGCTAAAACTCTATCATTTCTTAATAGAAGATGAAACTCGGGCATGAAAGGCTGCAGGTGATATGCATTATTTCCTGCTTCTTCCTGCTTGCTCTCGACGAAGGCGGACACATTTCCCTCCCGCTCCTGCTTTGCTCTTTGTCCTTTGAATCCATCGGAGCCTCTCTTTACATATCTTCTGAATTGTAAATTATGGATCTGGTCAGCTGGTCTCTCAATGCAATTAATAAAATTTTCTCGACGAGAAGACAGGGCGAAGGAGAGCCCTCTTGCCCTGACGGGACACTTACAGCTGGACACAAGATGGATTTCTGGAAGCAGTGGAAGATCGTGTGCCTGTCCGTATTGCCTGTTGAGGATGGAGAAGACGTGTACATAATTGGATTTATGATAACAGGTTTTCTGCTCTTTGGAGTTGGCGTTTACCTGGCATATCGACAAATATGGAAAACGTCAGCAGCTGCCTGACTTGTGTGAAGGAATGTGCCGTGCAGTGAGCACTCAGACTCAGATGCAGTATGAGCCGAGCCGTAAGCTGGACGCGATTTCTGAGAATCGCAGGCCACTTGCGGCTCCTGAAACTCACTGACGAGAAGGAATCGACCTGGGAGAAGCTAAAAGCTCTGCCCAGCAGTGTTGACCACAAAATTTGGCTGTTTTGAAGTCGCCATTGAGACGTACCAGTAGAACTATAAGGCAGACAGAAAACCAAGCAGAGTCGGCCTGACCCAGAATAACTGTTATCTGAATCTGGTTTCCCCATTTCGGCCTTGAAATGGTCAACTACCTCAAGCTTTCCTGGAGGTTATGTGAACAAGAAGCTCTGCTCTGCCCCTGTCCCCCCTCCCTTCCTGAGGGCATCTGTGGACCTGTATCAGAGCTGAGCCGGCTAATAAGACACTGCACCATCTCTTATCAGGACTATGGAACTACACCTTCGTCGGCCTTCATGCATATGTATCATGATGTCATCAATATGTTGCCGTTTCTGTGCTGAGGTAATTTTTTTGCAACTTTCACACTTTGTCCTGTCTAGGAGGACACAGTGCGAGATATGATTTTTTTTTTATACCTCCCATTCCCCGTGTTTCTCTTTTCCTATTTGAAAAAGGCAGCGCCTCCCACGAAGCCGCGGCCTCAGACTCCTCCGTCCCCCCCATGTCTGTTTGTTTATGCTTTACTTGGATGGGCTATACTGAAATGTAATTTTGTTGTGCTTCAGTGCAATGACAATAAAGCAGATTCTGATTCTTTCAAGGAATCCTAGACTTTTAATTTGTGGGAATGCCAATCTGTATTTTCTGTAGAACTTTGCACTGAAACTGCTGAGTTTTCATTTGAATAATCTGCAGAATATGTTTTCACCCTTGATTTACTTACACGCTCATAAAGTTGTCTGTTTGTAATTAGATCATTTCCCAAACAAAACACTATGTCAATGTGTGACCGTAGTTTCTCGTTTGAAACAGAAAGGGTTTTATTATTAGGATAGTAGTGACAAGTCATAATTTTGTGTACTGTGGGGATAAATTGTGGAATGATTTGAAAAGGGTAAAGGTCAGCTGACACTGAAAAGATAATCAATAATCTGTGCATCCATGGAGGGAAAAGAAGGGAAATGATGGAAATTGTGCCAGAAAGGAGTGAGAGAAGATGGAGCAGGTCGTTTATTTTCCACCGCAGTGCGAGATTAGTATTAATGGAGTCAAGTTAGGAGCAGCTTAATTGATTTATCTATAATTGCAATATGCTGAACGGGAAGTTTGTTACAAATGGTCTGTTTAATATAGAGCTGAGCAAGGCTGCAGCTGCTTGTGCAGTGTCGGATAAACTAAAGCTAATGAGAGGGGGAGTTGCGTTCAGTGTGTAGCACATCAAGTTCACCTCAGATTCTGTGTTGGAAGTGAAGCTAATTTGATTTTTTGGCTTTAGCCTTTCCAATAAAACGATCTGATCAATGAATTTAGAGAGGGAAAACCCGACTAAAGGTGGATTATCAGAAACGTCATGATGGTGGAAATGCTAAACCTGGGTGTTTGGTGCAGTGTTAGCAAAATATTTCATAAACTAGTAGACAGATTTGAATGAAACTCTCAAAAATCAATCATTTGACGCTACAGCTGATTAACTTTTGGAATCAACCCTATTAAAGATGACCATCACAGCTAAGCAACCTTAGCAAACACCTCTATTGGAGTCAACTGTGTGTAATATTTACTCTTAGAGCGTAATCAAAGGATATACATCTACAACTGATAAATTATTGGAGTCAGCTGATTCAATTTAAGATGGCCACCATAGATAATCAACATTTGACAACACACCAATGGTTTTTAAGGTATTGACCAAAATTTGATGTAGTAATAGCGGAGTCAGTTCCAACACTTTGCAATATTAAATGAGATTGTGCATGATGTTTTAAACAACTGTTAATTTTACCAACATTATGCACAATCCTATTATTGTAGTACTGGTACATTGAATTTAAGTATTCATTGTATACTGGCTTAGCTGATGCATCATGACGCTAGAGGCAGAAAAAGGTTAATTCATGCTGTGACGTCGCTTTACCGCTTTAAGAAAGGGGAGACATGTTTTACTCGGCGACAGAAAACTAGAGGCAAAGTTCAGGTGGTATTCTACAAACAACTACCTGAAGCACACGTCTGACTGGACGGAGGAACGGCTAAAAAAAGTCCTGAAAAGTAAATCCAACAAACTTTAAAGAGTCTGCTACAGCAAAAGAAAAAGTGTCAGTAACGACCATCTGCTAGGTACAAGAAGCTCCTTGTTGCCCGTGATAAACATTTAGAAGCTTTCACTTTTGTAAAGATTTTTACAGGCAAATATTAATGAGGCGTGACCAATCATGCTGCCTTAGGTTCAATTTATGCATATAATTTCAATTTATCATTATTATGCAAATGTTTTCCTTGTGTTTAGGAGCCTGGTACATTTACATAAAAGCAAACGATATATTCTGACATTTAAAACTGCTTTTTTGACAGGTATGTGTGAACATTTTTGGAAGCAGATCCTGTACTGTGAAAGCTTCTGCTTCTTTGTAAAATGTGTGTACGTTCGGCTGCTGTTAAGCTTGCAGGCTGAGGGAGCTTTGAGACTGACCTGAGATGATAGGATGGGGGCACATCTGCTGTGTGACAGCTTTCCTCGAAGGTGCACTCCGACTATCAGGTTCTGCTGAAACCCTCGGCGCTCTGCAACAGTGATGATAACAGCGAGAAGAAATAAAGCCTGTCATAAGTCTGTCTGCATGCTCACGTCATCCTGAACCGTTGCTGACAAATTTCATAAAAAATAATTAAATAAATAAAACAAAAAATAATGAAATAAAACAAGAGCTAAAGGAAAGGCAAACAAAAAAAACCCAACAGATTTACATCAGACAAACTATGAGCAAGTTTTATCGCCTTAGAAGGGGTATTTAATTTGCAGTTACATAAATAATATAGATGTACAAACTACCTTATTTTTCGGACTATAAGGCGCACCAGATTATAAGGCGCATTAAGTGAAACAAAACGGTCACATAAGTCAAACTTTATTCAACTCTTTTACAATAATCACATAAAATTGGTTCGAGGTCAGTAAACGCAAACAGAATTATCATATTTTTCGACCTATGTCGCGTTTTTTTTTCATAATATACATGCCCTGCGACTTATAGGCCGAAGCAACGCATTTATGGATTTTTTTTCTCATATTTATAAAACAATTTTTGGCTGAGATATGGCCGTTTTCATTTATTCTGAATGAAAAAAATAATTTGAACAGTACATTTTCAGCCACTTGATGGCAGCAGAGTAGTAGTAGCAGTAGGGCATGCCGTTGTATCATGTAATAGGTAAACGTGGCTATAATGACAAATTCAAAAAAGTTAAAGACAAAAACAACTGGACTTTATTTATTATATTTTATTGCTATTTATTTTTTACGTTTTTGAATTTACCATGTCCTGGATGACTGAGAATTTTCACCTGCTATTAATGACACAATCGGCTTGCCATAATACCCACACCTTTATAGTACCACCTCGCTGTTTGGAGCAAGTTAAACCAGCTGCACTGCCCCAGCGAAATGCAGCTAATTTGACCATTAAAGTGCATTTATTAAGCAAACGTTAGACTGAGACACACCCTTATTATAATTTCAAACAAACAAATAATTGTTTAGGTGCTTTTCTTGTTAAATTTTGAAGAAACGAGCAGCTTTCGTCCTTCCCGATTTCCTCCCTATATGCGCTCCCGGAGTACCGATGCAGCAAAACTAATTTTGAAATTCATCTGATTTGACCATTAAAGTGCGTTTTTTAAGGAATAGTTCAACTGAGACACACCTTCACTATAATTTCAAGCAAACAAATAATTGTTTTTAAGAGCTAATCTTGTTAAAGTCCTCCTGTGTATGCTCCTGTGGCCGCCATTTGGCAGCCCATCATCAATTTTTGGCACAACACTGGCCCACATTTCTGGATTGTCAGCGGTGATGCGAAACAAACACGATGCGTCAGCGGTGACGCATAATAGGTGCGACGTAGACGGCGAAGCGAGATATTTATGGATTTTTTCCACTTTGTTAGACAAATATGGACTGATACAACTTATAGGACGGTGCAACGTGTCTGCCGGAAAATACAGTAACACATAAGGCACACCTGATTATAAGGCTCACTGTCAATTTTTGAGAAAATTAAAGGATTTTAAGTGCGCCTTATAGTCCAAAAAATACGGTATACAAATTTAAACCATCTTGATTCAACTTGTGAAAACAATAAGCATGCATACCAAGCTAGATATTAGTCTCTTTTTTTAACTTGTGTTTACATGACTACGGTTTCAGAAAACATTTTTCTACATGTTAGTCTTTTGAGTTAAAGGGAAGTGAGCGAACACTCAGGAGTTATGACTCATAACTCATAGTTATGAGTGTTTGAGAGCTTTTGTAGGAGTTTCATTCATGAACTTGTACGCAAAAATATAAAAATTCAAACATCAAGTGTCATCATTACAAATAGCCTTTTAATCTCTAGTATTTTCCTTATTTCACTGACTAATTCAGTCTGATTTATAACATATTTTATATTCATGGGCTGTCATTTTGCACTCTGCAGTTAGGAGGAACTTGCATTTGACTTTTAGGCCTTCCTGACCCCAAACTGAATGAATGATGGAGTCTATGCTAGACCTTTGTGCGTCTGTTGTTCTTCAGCATGTGGACATAATGGATTGTTTGGGCCAGTGGCTCCAGAAGTTTGGATTAACTTTCTGCTAAGGGATGTAAATCATCAAGTGGGGGTCTTTACACAATCTAAAGAAATTAAATTACACTGGAAATGCTTAGAGCACCTTTCTGAGATAACAGACATAAATTAAAATGGCGGTCATAAAATAGTAAACTAATTTTGTTGTATTGTTCTTGTTTACCTAGACCCTTTACAAAGTTTGTTTACTTTAACCAGCAAATGCCAAGTTTGCAAATCATCCCCATTGTTATTTTGTCAGTCAGATGCCACAAAAGTTGGAAAATGTGCATCTAGGTGAAAACTGCTGCATTCTGCACGTTTTGCAACAACTCAGCAACTACTTACAATTACAACTGTAAAATAAATTGAATACTGGGAAAACCCTTAATATATGACTTGTTAACAATAGGATTTTAAAATCCTTTCAGACGTGGACGTGTTTCACAAAGTGGAAGAAACTAAAGTTTTTTACGACTACAACAAGAAAGATTTTGAGCTACAATATTTATGAGAAAAGCATGAATATAAAAAGATAAACTTTGGCATTTAGGTGAGTAAAAAGCATTTATAGGTATTTTTTTTTCATCCATTAGAAGCATCCATCTATAACTTTTAAATCCATTATAGTATGGGCTTTTTGTGACAGTGATAAGTTGAAACATTTAGATCCAATTTAATAATTTTAGTTATGCAGCTTTAATGTTTTGTTGTGTTCTGTGTGCCAACCTCTGCTCCCGGTCAAAGCTGCAGCTCTTTGCTCTGGAGCCTCTTAGCACCGACAGCTGGGTGAGCTGTGCAGTTTTCTCCATTTCCAGCTCCAAACCCAACATGTTCTGCTTTTCTGTCAGCCGAGCAATTTTCTCCTGCTGCTCCTTCAGCAGCTTCCTCTGCTGCGAGATGATCTGCTGCTGGACGGCATGTCTGTTCTCAAACCTGCCGGCTGGTGATGCCGTTATTTTAGCGCGGGTGAAAACACTGCTTTCCACTCTCTGCCGCGCCTCGTGGAGCTCTGCAGCGGTGGGGGCAGCATGGCGTTGGGTTATCTGCCATGGCTGGGAGGGTCGGGACACAAAACTCACAGAGGTTTGATCCTGACGCACCACAAAGGAACAAGGAGCTGTAGTGTCCAACCTGTGTTGATCCATCTACATCAAACAACAGAGAGAAAAAAAGTAGTTTATACTTGAGGGAATGAAACCTAACAAGGTAGGAAAAAGGGTTGTAGGCTCAATAATCCAGGTAGATAAATAACAACAAAAAAGGTTAAATCCTGTCATCTGGACCAGAGGCAGGATAGTTTTTCTATGTTGGTCCTGCTCTAGTAATTTAGCTTTAGTGCAGCTTCCGACTAGTTCAGACTCGTTGGTCCTTCACAACCATCCTTGTTATTTTTAACTTCATTAAAAAGTGTAAAAATAAAGTCAGATGGGATCTATAGGGAAAGGGAGCAGAACAATGACAAAAGTTACAGCTAGACCACCAGTCATTTGTATGTAGAAAACTTTCCACACGCTTGAGACTGCATGCACAATGAATGCAGCCGAGCAGTGTTGCCAGATAAATTTAAAATGTCTTATTTACCCCCTCCTTTTCTGTGCACATATTCAACAAACACAACACACACCTCATCTTAGAATATCTTTACCTGCATATAAACAGTTTAGGTCAAAATACTATCATTTTACAGCAACAATACTATAGTTCATAATTTATTATCTGGCAACCCGATTGACATGGAAACGACTGTGTTTTTGTGTAAACCCATTCATTTTCTGTTTACTGTCCCCAATAAACATTGAAAAAACATGAACGTTTCCAGAGGTTGTTATCATGGATGCGGGGCCTTATAGTATGTAGACCAATTTGACGTTGTCAGTTTAACAGTAGCTCGCATGCTGAAAAACTGTGGGCGCCCCTGCTCTATGCCCTCCTGTTCTACTCCCCACCTCCTCTCCAGAATTGTAAATATTTCAGCTGAACTGCATCCCGCTCAGTACTGTGAAAGGTTCAGTTGTACCATGCTAAGGGAAAGGCCAGAGGAAAGTATTATTTATTTTGTTTACTTCCCCAGACTTATTTCTTGCCTCAGTAAGTAGGCCCTTAACATGACCTGTCATTGACAGGGCTGATGTTTTAGTAATGGCTGTGACCCTTAAGCCACTTGTAAAAAAAATGATTTATACAGTTGTTTTTGTTGTAAACCATTAATTAGAAGTTTTATGAATGAGCAGTCACCTCCTCTGATTGGTTTGGGGGTGCAGGTGCGACTGTTCTTGACTGATCAGCAGAGGCTCCTGTTCCCAAGAGTTTTCCTGTGGATGCAGCTGTGAGTAAAGCCGCCATCTTTAATTTGGTCTCCTGTTGTCGGGACAAAAGCTCTCGCTGTGCCTTCCCCACCTGACACCGCAGCTGCCACTCACTCAAACATCGCCGTAACAATCGCCTTCGGTCACTTTCCACAGCTAGCTGGATTTGTCTGCAGGAAGTAATGAAAAAGATCACATTAAATCTTTGATAGGTTAGGAAATCCATTATAGAATGTCTTCTTTGGTTTCATTTTGGTTGTTGCCTGTTTTCTATTCGCAGTGTCTCTTCTGTTCTTGCCATCTCTTGCTGCTCGCGCTTTGCCCACATCACTGTGCGCCATGCTCGCCAAGCTTTCAGCTGCCTCCTCCAATCACAAAGGGCCACAGCCTTACCCGTACGTAACCTTTGGTCCATCACCACCGAATACCACCCAGAAAAATGACTGTGCAGACACTAAAGCACAAGCACAAATGCATTTATATGAATAAGAACACTTGTATGATTATGTTCTGCAAGTATCAATAAAGCTTCACACAGTAGAGGCACCAACCTTGAGATTACTCATGCGAATCTTCATTTTAATGTCCTGTTCTCGATGATGTCGCTCAGTTTCCTGCTGCTGCTTTGACAGAAGGGTTTTTGTTGTCTGAACCGTTCTGACCGCCCTCTGCGCTGCTTTTTCTCTGTCTCTGCACAACAAACATACATATAATTGGCTACTTGATTTAAAAAGTGTAAAAAATAAACACAATTTAAAGCTGAAAATAAAATTTTAACAGTTCATCTTTTCGAGTGTAATAAAGACCACAAGTTTCCACAAATAGACTAATTATTACATTGAATAAAACTGAAGGATTCACTACTTTCAACGATTAAACTCTATTTTTACTTCTTTCATTGCAATGTTTGAATTTAACGTAACAAATGTAAACAAATCGCTTTGACAAAGACGCAAAGAACTTGAAAAAAGTTGTGCAATTCTTAAAAAACAAATACATATCTGACAACTACTGTAAAGTCAACTAAATAAATAAATTTTGTAAAGCTGCAAAACATTTTTTTTAAGAATGTGACAATACAGAATGTTAATAAAATCATGAAATGTCTATAAGAAATCTTGAAACACAAGGGAGAAGAGGAACAAAATCTTGACCTGTCTTTACCTTTATGTCCTAAAGCTTTTCATTTTATATTAAATATATACATTTTAAAATGGGAGTTGTGTAACGCTGAGTCATGTATTGTGTAAAATCGCTTTGCCAGTTTATTTGAGGATATATTGTGAAAGGCTGCTACCAGGGCAACACTGTGTTCAAAACTAAATTTACCTAACTGGATAATAAAATATATTGTGTTGCATACGGGAGTTTGCATGTTCTCTCCGTGCATGCGTGGGTTTTCTCCGGGTGCTCCGGTTTCCTCCCACAGACCAAAAACATGCATGTTAGGCTGATTGGTAACTCTAAATTGACCCTAGGTGTGAGTGAAAGTGTGAATGGTTGTTTGTCTCGTTTGTCTCTATGTGGCCCTGTGATGGACTTGCGACCCATCCAGGGTGTACCACGCCCCTCGCACAGTGATTGCTGGACATGGGCACCAGCGACCCCCGTGACCCAAAATGGAATAAGCGGGTAAAGATAATGGATGGATGGATGGATGGATGGGTGTTGCATACGTCACAGCACACCCCATTGTATCATACGACACTGGATTGTATTGTACAGCATTTAAAATACTTCTGCACGTAAAAAGTTGTTTTTTTAACCAACGTCTGAGTAATTATTTGCATCCACAGATCTGAAGTGCCTTCTATGGGTTAAAGAAGAGAAACAACTTATAGTATACAACTATTTTCTCTGTGGTAATACAGTTTAGTTGCTCAACTGTCTTGGAAATGTGTTGTTATAAACCTTCTGTTCATAGTGCACCTCTGTCGAATGAGCTGCTCCAGGCCTCTCCTCTCCTCCATCTGACGCCGCAGTCTCACCATCTCCAGCTGCACCATCTCCTCCTGCTTGCATTGCTCCAGCTTCTTCCTCATCTCCTCCTCCCGCTCCCTCCTCTTCGCCTCCTTTCTAGCCTCACGCTGAGCCTCCTTCTCCCTCTGCTGCCTCCGTCTCTCGGCCTCTCGCCGCACCCGGTTCTCCCGCACCTCAATCAGTAACCGGCAACAGTTTGGGTTATTTGAGAAGGCGACATGTCCACTGCTCAAGTTGATTCACATCTATAGTATTCTACAACTTGAGAAACGGACGCAAATATTAGTCAAATACCTGCTGATGCCGTGCTTCCATGGTGATGATCGGATTTCTGAACTTCTTTTGAATTTCTCCATCATCAAGGGAGAGTTCCTCCATCATCCTAGAGTCCTGCAGCTCCTGCTCCATGAGATCTTGTAGGAAGCTGTTAACAGCAAACTGATCTTCTTCTTCAGCCAGGCAGGCGTACAGATCTATTTATATTTCCCATAAAATGTGAAAGATAGGTTTAGATATGTATTGCCTTGCTGTAAACACATGCTTTTTATGTTTAGGCATATTAACATAAACACTTGAAAACTTCTAAATAAGCGGCTGTAATGTCATTTTGTATTAACTATGTGGTTGTTGTGATTATAAAAGTATAATTAAAACAGGTATTATAGTAACTGATTAAAATACTGATCCTCAGATTCATTACAGACAAATTTATGTACCTTCAAAATTGTTGTGAGCTGGGACAACTAGTGGTGGAGAAGCCGGAGCAGCAGGTTGTGTCGTTTCAGCGAAACCCTTCAGGTCATCTTCATCGTCCACCTCCAGCTCCATCCGTAACTTGGTGCCCAGCCAATCACCTAGAAGAGCCTGAGCTGAAAATAAATATATATAAAAGGGATGATTGTTGAAGGTTTGTGAACGTAGAGTTTCTGGCTTTATCTTTTAGAGTTACCATACCATACCAATTTATTTTTAAAGCAATTAAAATACAACAAAGCAGCCGACTGAAGTGCTGTATAAATTAAAAATAATAATAATAAAAAAAATTAACACAACTATATATATATATATATATAAATAAATAATCAAACTTCCACAAGTAAAATAATATAACATTAAGATACAGATGCTAACTCACTTTAGGTTAAAAGCCAAAGGAAAAAATAGTGTTTTTAAACGAGTTTTACAAACAGGAAGTGATGGGGCCAACCTGACTTTCAGTGGCAGCTCATGCCACAGTTTAGGAGCCAGAGCTGAAAAGGCTCTGTCTCTGGATTTATAAAAAGGTATTTGGGACTGCTACAAGCATCTGGCTAGTCTAAAAAAGTTAAATCTGGTCCTCTGGACATTCAAAAAAACAAAACAAAAAAAATGTAGAAACGTTTCATCTTTTATCCGAAAGACTTCCTCAGTCTGAGGTGCTGTATTCAGCTCAGTCTTATAAATAGCACCTTCTCAGTGTGGATCAACCAGTTTGCTGCTGACAATCAAAACCAGCTGCTCACATGATCAAGAAGGACCATCAGCCTAACAATGGATCATTAGCACACTGATGGCTGTTTACTATTCACAGGGGGCTGAGTGATACTAGCAATACAGCATTGTAAGAGGAAGACAGTTGAACACGGAGGTCTCCAACCCTGTTTAATGATGGACGGTTTCTTCTCCTCTCTCAAACCATTGTTCCTCTTTATCAAGGATGTGAACATCTTCATCCCTGAAAGAGTGACCGCTGGCCTGGAGACCTCAGAGTCCTGGCCTGATGATGTTGCTTTTCTGTGCTGGTCCATCCTTTTGACCAGTGGCTGTTGAGTTTCCCTGATGTAAGACTGATCACAGCCCTCCTGACACTGAACAGCATATACAATATTACTCTGTTTGTGCCGGGGGACTTACTTGTCCCCCTCTTACAATGCTGTGATTGCTAGTATCACTCAGCCCCCTGTGAACAGTAAACAGCCATCAGTGTGCTAATGATCCATTGTTAGGCTGATGGTCCTTCTTGACCATGTGAGCAGCTGGTTTTGGTTGTCAGCAGCAAAACTGGTTGATCCACTCTGAGAAGGTGCTATTTATAAGACTGAGCTGAATACAGCACCTCAGACTGAACAAGTCTCGGATGAAAGACGAAACATTTCTACAGTTTTTTTTGTTTTGTTATTTTGAATGTCCAGAGGACCAGATTTAACTTTTTTAGATTTTTCTACTTGGATTATTGAGCATGCATCAGGACATCTGGCTAGAGGGTCTAAGAGCATGTGACGGCACGTAAAGGTGAAGCAATTCAGACAAATAAAAAGTATTGAGACCATTCAAAGACTTAAAAACAAACAACAGAACTTTAAAATGGATTTGAAACTGGACAAGAAGCCATTGAAGGGACATCAAAACTGGAGTGATGTGTTCACGCCTGCCTGTACCAGTCAAAAATCGTGCAGCAGCATTTTGTACCAGCTGTAAATGTGAGAGGGAGGCTTGGCTAACTCAGATCAAAACAGACAGGGTTACAATAATCCAGGCGTGAAGTAATAAAAGCGTGGATTACTGTCTCTACGTGGTGCCTAGAAAGGAGGGGCTTTTGACAGACGCCTCAGCTGAAAGAAAGAGGACTTAACCATGCTGTTGACATGGCAGTCAAGTTTCAGGCAGGAGGCAACTTTCACCCCTAAATTTGTAAGAATGGATATTTCATGTGGGGCCAAAGAAGAAAATTCAAAAGTGGGGAAACTGCTAGGACAACTGGATTTAAAGATCATAACCTCAGTCTTTTTTTTGCTAAAATGGAGGACATTAAGTGCCATCCATCCTCTAATGTCATTGAGACAGTCTAGGAGATACTGAGTTGAGCCATTATGTTTCATAGGGAATTAGACTTGACAGTCATCTGCATATAAATTAAATTGCACACCATACTTTCTGAAAACAGAACCCAGAGGCTGAAGATAAAAAAGAGAGAACAGGAGAGCACCAAGCATAGAGCCCTGGGGTACCCCACAGGGGAAGTGCAGCAGAAGCAGAGGTAAAATTCTCCATCATCACACTGAAACTTCTATCAGAAAGTTAGGACCTAAACCACTGAAGAGCTGAACCAGTGATGCCCACCCACTGCTCCAAATCTGGAGATGAGAATGTCATGGTCGGCTGTGTCACAAGCAGCTGTTAAATCTAAAAGCACAAGTAAAACACAGTTCCCAGAATCCAGTGCTAAAAATATGTCATTAAAAACCCTTAAAAGAGCAGATTCTGTGCTGTGGTACGTTTTGAAACCACTGGAAGACCTCCAAAATTTTAAGTTTTTTTTTTTAAAGAGTTTTATGCTATATTTCATAATTGATTGTAACACAATGTTATTTCAATCAGATGACGTCAACAGGCAATTATGTTCATGATTACATCTCAACATTTCTGATCTGAAGATGCACATCAGTGCAAATCTGACTGCAGAGAAACTCAGTTATAATGTGACTTTGCAGCAGTGAAAGAAAAACTAAACTAAAACACAAGAGTCCACAAAACGCACATTAATGTAATATTATGACATTACAAAATATCACTTATTATAGTTATTAAGGGTAAAAAAAGGGAAAGAAAAAAAAGATAAATTAAATGTAATGCTACAACCATGAAATTTGTACTACATTTGTATCTCTTTATGTTTCTCATGGTAAATGACATGAAAATAAATTTATCAAATATTTATTTATCAAATATCAAATATTAAAAGAATAATTTGATCCCGACTCAGAATTCAGGAAATTCAATAAGGTTTTATCATTACATCTACTTAATACTAACATACCGTGTCAGTTAGGAACATTTATTAGAAAAAATATATACATTTAGCACCCCAGCACTTTAAAACAAATTGGAGTCTCATTATGTACCTTTGCTTTGAATTTACACTGATAAAAATAATATCTCAACAAACTTTCAGAAACAGTTTTGCACTTTTCTTGTAAGATAATTATATATTTTTTACGAGTTGGCTTACCTTCACTGTAAGCATCATCATGATCCTTTAACTGCTCCGAGCTTTGTAAAGGTACAGCCAGTCTGTTGCGTCTTGAATCGGGTTTTTTGTGGAAGAAGACTTCAGACACAGCAAACTCAGAGGCCTTCTCCACCCGCTAAAAGAAAGGAAAAGGACATAAAAATGAATAGCTTTATAAAAAAAATTGTGCAAAACTCTCAAAAGCAATGAATGTACAAAACTGACATATGAGTTGCACACCTTCCTCCACTGATCAATATCATCAGTCTTCACAGGCATCTGTTTGTAAAATAAAATGGAAATTATTTTGATTTGAAGACATAAACCTGAACATTAATGCAGGTTTCATGGTCTTAGCCTGTTTGAAAACCCCTAAACAAACTCACCTTGAGCTGCAGCTGCAGTGTGCAAACTGAGAACTTAAAAGCTGCTGTTTATTTCACAGAAACGCTAAGATGTTGCATTTAATCCGAAGATTATCCAAAAATCATTTCCCAGACTAATAAAATCCAGCTCTTTACCAAGCTATTCAGCTCAGGCTGCAACTGTGCACAGCTGCGGCGGTCAGGCAGAGATTATTTGACTAAAGCATGCATATTTAATATTTTCTGAGCAAAACCTACAAGATCATGCATACTGGACCTGATTAACAGGGAATAACAGTAATGTAGTTCAAACTTACCTTGTCAGGAGTAGGCCCGAGCCTCTTCCACCTGAACAGGTGGGAGTTTTGACCCGAAGACGTCATTGCCCCGTTTAGCCAGTTTACATAATATATTGTATTCCTAAAACATGAACCAAGATATATATATTTTAACACATTTTCTAACAACAAACGCGAATAAATAGCTAACTAAGGTCTATCCGGTCGCCAAATCAAGTTTAAAAGTTACAACAGAGCTAAACTCCAGAGCAGTAAACCTTACCGCCTGGGAGTGCTTTCGTAACGCATTCTGGGAAATGTAGTGAATTAATCGGCTTTCTTTACCTTTTTTAAAAATGAATAAGATGCTTGGAACTACGCGTCCCAACAGGCTCGAGGGCCATAGGTAACCATGACAACAATGCTAGCTTTCGGTTTTTTTTTTTGTTAAGGAAAATATAAAATCGACTAAATAGATTTTAGCTGGAAAGTGTTTTCTTATTGTTTTTAACATACTGCTTAAAGTGGCATTTCTTTAACCTTTTTTTTTTTAATTAGTAAAAACCGCCGTCGCTGTTGATGACGTCATATGCCCCCGACTTTCAGTGTATGCACAGCATGAGTTTCTAATGGTAAACCAACAAAAATGTGCGCTTGAATTTGACAAACATCAACAAAGATAAGGTCATATTCAAACGAAGGTTCTCACCGAACCATCCGATAACATTAATCGTCTCAAAATACTAAAACTTACGTTGTAACGAAGCTAGCTACGTGGCTAGCCTAGCTTCCTCTTAAATTATCTGTCTGTTTTGAAGCTGCTGGTATGGCTGGCAGCAGGATGCAGATGGAGCTGTCCCGTGTGGTTCAGGGCACAGCTCGTTTGGGTGTGCTGAAGGGTCTCGGGAGGACGGGGCAGCACTCTCTTGATGTTCCGGGGTGTCTGCTGTACACCCACCTTGGTACGGCACCCCACCTCACCCAGGACACGCTGCACACCATCAGCAACCTCCCCTCTGTCACTCAGGTCACTCTGTCCCACGTGTAAGTTAAAACCATCTCGCACATTGTTTCACATAAAGAACTTTAATTTTAAATCTAATCTCCATCTCCAGTGCAGAGCAGCAAGAAGTGCTGGAAGAGTTTAAAGATGGATTAAAGACATTTGCAGGTACAAAGATGTACTTTCATGATTTCCTATTCGTCTATTTACATCTAAATGTTGTAAAGCTTAAAAGTTGTGTTAATTCACCAGCCTTTACAGAGGGTATAGCTGATTCCAAGTAGGCTGTAAGGCTGGCATATTTAAACGCCTTATTTATTTTTAACCAATTCAGTACAAGCTCTTGATTTGGTCAAAAGAAACCAATCTAGTGATCAAACACAACCTACAATACTTTTTTTTCCAGAATGTAAGTTAGGCACTAAGCTTAGAAAGACAATGAAATGTGAAATCCTTTCTAGATTAATTTGGATGTCAGTGCATTCATACCTGCAAAATGACTAGAGCTTGTCTGCACGCAGAAACAATTTTCATCTTATTTTATTAGTGCTTTAACCTATTCCTCAATAATTGCTAAGGAGGACTTCTAAGAACAGCATTTGTGTATTAGTGAAAAGCTCATTAGCTATGTGAGCGTGACCAAAAAGTAGTTCTTCGTAAATTTATATAAATCTACTAAAAACTTGATCCTTGTTCCACATTCGCTGAGCTTTACTCGGCCTCTCACAAGCAAATTTTAAAATGAGAACTGTAATAAACGTTGTCGCTTCATGTAAAATGTCAATTAGCACAATGTTGTCTCTAAAGCTCCAGAAAGGAAGGACGGACAGCTAGAAATATTAATTATGTCCTTTGTTTTCTCACCTTTTGATTTATTGTCTGCAGCTGGTTTTAGCTGATAAAGTTCACATATCGTCTTTCAGTAATGAAACATTTATCCCCGACTGTTGGCTTTGCTGGTTTTGTTTTCATGGAGTGACTTCTGTTTTTCAGGGCTTCATGATACAGTGTTGTACTGCTCACTTCACGACCCTGCAACTCCTTGCCCGACAGGCTACACTACCAACAAGGTGAGATAACGCCTGCTGTAGTGCAACATTACCAGCAAAAGTTGTTTTCCTTGATCTCTAGAAGTGTAATTTCTCAAAGTGCTCTAGGCCACTTTGAGCTCTCTTATGGGTGTAGTTGCTAGTGCCTTGAATTGCATTTTGTGTCATTAGACGGTGTCTGTGTGGGGCAGCGGTGGGCGGATAGAGCTGTCGGTGGCCAAATTTATGGCTCTCCAGAAGACAGTGCAGCCAGACTGGTACCAGAGCATGGCAGATGGAGAGACCTGGCAGGTCAACACGTCTCGCAAAAGGATCAGAAAGTCAGTGGATCGAACCTTGGCTCATTTGGACGAGTGTCTGCTGCTCCACCAAAAATCACAGGTACACACAAAAACACACAACTTTGACAGGCAGTCCATAAGCTCCAACTGTTGGAGTCATTCGTGCACAGCAATAGCACAATGGGTTGATGTTTGGTAGAAGTCAAAGGAGCCGCCTTGCAGCTGTGCTACTGCAGAAATAAACTGCAAGATTTGTATGAATACATAAAACAGCAGATGTGTAAGCATGAAGCATTTATAACTAATTAAACGTTTTTTTTAGTTTTTCAAATTCTCTTAATGTAACTTTAATTTAATCAAAAGGACGTGCAAATCATAATGACAGGGGACCACTTCATTCTATTGCAGTTAATAGAAATTATTATAGACTGCTTTTCATTTTTCATCCAATTTCTGCATTTTACTGCAATTTTTATGTGATTCTTTGTTTTTCATCGTCTTTATTTTGTGCTGCAGTTGTTGTTTTTGTTGTTGCATGAATGCCAACTAAATGTTCCTTGACACAGTAAGGTGGGAAATCAACCATGTAGAGTAAAGAGAACAGACAGAGTTCTGCAGGTAATTACTTATCAACCTTTTACCCAGTCAGCTGTGTGATTTCTGCCAAGTTTCCTCCAAACCATCCAGTGGACACCCCCCCCCCCCCCCTGAACGTTGAGTACCAATAATCAAAATCCAAATGGAGTCTGACAGCGTAAAACCTTTTTATTTATGTATGTTTTCCCACAAATTTAAATCTGTTGTACTGCTGCAAGCTTGGTCATACATCATGCAAAGTATTAAAAATACACATTTTTCTCATCTTTCACAAGTTTTTCCTCGGCTTTAATCACCAGCATGTTTCCCTGTCCTGCCAGGAATTGGAAAGAGCCAGAGTATTTGGGGTAGTGGAGGGAGGAGACATCTTGGAGGAGAGGGTGCGCTCAGCAAGGGAGACCGCCAAAAGGCCCGTGGCAGGTTTCTGCCTGGACGGCTTCCAAACTGGTGCCATGGATCAGGACCTGAGGATCCAACTCATCACTGCTGTGACCAAGGAGCTGCCTGAGGACAAACCCAGGTCTGCCCGCTTGTGACTCTGAACATTTCTTAGTTTTTCATTTTTTTTAATTGAAGAATACTTTCTCTGGGATTATTTAAAAGGCAATTACTGAAAATAGTTGGACAGAACTGAACTAAAAGCAGAGGAGTTAACACATTTAGGGTCATGGATTAAAGTTCTCAATCGCTGCAACAGATTTCTCTTTTGTTCAACACATTTTGAAGAAGAAGAAGAAAAAAAAAACAATCACTGCAATTATGGTGAAAATACAGCAGACTAGGAGAACCTAATTCCTGTTATGCAACTTGTCTGTCAGTCTTTTTTCTTTGCAGATCTTTTTTTAGGAGACCCAGAGAGACACTTGGCTGTACTTCTCCCTCTTTCTTTCATGGGACATATGCTTTTGAAGAAAGTTGTATCAAAACCTTGAAGAAATTCTTCAGTATTCAGCCTAACTGCGCAGCGTAGTCTGCAGAAACTGTTAGAAAATGTAAATTTATTCTAATTTACTTACATTTTTCTTGACTGCAGACCAGCTGAAAACAGATGATGATTCATCTTTCAGTCAAATTTTTTTCCAAGTCATTTGCTTAATAGGTTCAGCTTGTACCTCTGCAGGTACAAACTCTGAGTACCACATTAGCCAGCTGGAGGGTTATAATACCATTTATGTTCATTTTGTAATTCTTTCGTCACATGTTGGCTCTATAAACCCTGAGCTTCACTCTCAGTCCTTTCCACTGTTTTTATGTGTGAGATTTGAGAGGTTTATGTTAAAAATTGGTACCTAAATTGATTAATTTTTATCTATGACTAGAAAATTTGCATTTCCTGCAAAAATGCATTGTGAATGCTTATTGCTGAAGAACTTGTGGGAAAAACAGCTGAAATTAGCTAAAAACATGCTGAAATGTAGCTGAAATGGAAGAACAAGCCTAAGTTAGTAGAAGAAAGGAAAAACACGTTTGCTAAATTAAATTTAAATAAGCAGAAATGATCACAAAAATTAGGAAATTATCTAAAAAAGCTGAAATTAGCAACAAAAAAAGAGGCTGAAATGTAACTGTTAAAGCAGAAAGAAACTTAAACTACCAGGAGGAAGTTGAAGGAGCTGAAATGAGAAAAAAAAAATAGGTGGCTATTAGTTGAAAAAGCTATATTTAGCACAAAACAGCTATGAACTTGAATTTATCTGAAAACAGCTGAAATTATCTGAAAAATGTTAAAACAAAATAGCTGTAAAGGTAGAACAAGCTTAAATTAGCAGAAGAAAACAGAAAACACGTTTACCCAGTTAGACTGAAAGAAGCAGAAACGAGCACTAAAACGTGGATATTTTCTGAAAATAGCTGAAAACAGCAAAAAAACAAAAAAAAAAACCCAGCTAAAAAGTAGCTAAAATTTTCTAAGAAGCTTAAATCACCGGAAGGAAGTGAAGAGAGCACACTTTTGCTGAATTAGGCTGAAAAAGTGGAAACGAGTGCAAAAAATCTGGAATTAGCCGAAAAATTAGCATTAAAAAGAGCTAAATAGTAGCTGAAATAGAATAATAAGCTGAAAGAACCATAACAAGCTGAAATTAGCAGAAATAAGTTAGAAGAAGCACAAAAATGTTGTAGTTGGCAGAAAGAATATAAAAGGAGCGCAAAACAGCTGAAAAACAGCTGAAAAACGGCTGAAAGTAGCTGAAAAAGTTTAAATTTGAACACAGAGGTGGAAAGAAGCTGAACCAGAACAAAATGTGAAAGGAGCAGTAAAAGGTTGTAACAGATCTAAATTTCAAAAGGATGTAAAATGTGCTCAGTTCATTTTCTAAGTACCAAAAGTCGTCGCGCCCTTCTTCTCTGACGAGCTGAACGTTTTGATTTATGATTTGTTGAAATAGCACAAAAATTGTGGAACGAGAAAGATGCTGAAAAACGTAAAGAAGAAAAATGGATTACAATAAGGTGAATACTTCATAAACATTCACACAATTAGTTTCTAACATTTTGGCCTCATAGTTGTGCAATTATAAGAAAACCTGGATTTCAGTGCTCAGAGTAAGAACACAAGGTAAATAATGGCAATAAGTCAGAGTCAGGCTGTAAAACTTAAATACATTTTTTTAAATGAGAATTTGCTGTTTAAAGAGCAAAAAGCAGAAAGTTGGACTTTTGAATGTTTCCAAGGTGCAGTCAGTGGTCAGGAGCGTGCTTTGATGTTAAAGTCGGTAGGAGGTTGGATTATTTAGTAACACAGCGCTGAAAAAGTGGCAAAATCTTAAATGCTTCCTGAACGAAAAATCCTCAAACCCAGTGAACCACCCAAAAAGTTCTGGAGTTGGTAACAACTGAAAAACCCAAACACGTTCTCAAGCACAGAACATTTTCAATTTTACATGTATTCCCTTAAAATCAAATCATTTTTATGACCTCTGATAACTTTTCTCCAATTTTTGCGCTGCCCTATGTGTTTAAATACAGCCATTCGATAGAACAAGTTGAAGTCGTCGTCTTTACCCTCCTGGTAATTGATTTATAAAAAAATAGAGCTTCAATTCTTTCGGCTCCAGAATATTATCAAATACACCTGGAGACTGTTAGCTCTCTGCAGCTTCAGTTTTGGTTTTTAAAATTCATCACTTTGCAAGGTCAGAGAGCCTCGCAAACGGATGCAACTATGTAACCATAAATCAACTGTGAGCCAGATAAAAGTCGAAGCGTCTCCCCTCCTTCGATGGACATCGTGATAAATCAGAAACTTTGACACCGAGAACATTTAAGGCATGTTTTGATCCGGTGGACCTGATATTCTAATGCGTTTTAGTGTCTTAAACTCCTTTTTTGACCTGGCAGATCCTTTAAAAGACACAAGGACAAACTTCAGCTGCTAAAGGTTTAAACTCTGGATTAAATTATCTTGTCAGAGACTTCTCTCCGGATGCTGTCCCACATGAGCGCTCCTCTCCTGGAGGTGATGGAGAAGCTGCGCTTCCTGTTAGAGGCTGTTACCGTTGAGCTGCGAGGAGCAGTAATCTGTTACCAGCTGCGTGCATTCCTCCTGCTGCTCCTTCCAGTTGGAGGGAGGTTGCAGCTTCCAGAAAGTGGAGTCACGATCGAAAGCTAAATCGGGCTCGACCTCGACGCCCGCAGGCAGAGAGTTTCACAGGCTAACGGAAAGTTCAAACGCTCTGGAGGGCACACGTTGTTGTGAGGAGCAACGCTGATGATGCTTGTGTCTGACTGCGTTAAAGACACGTTGCGTTAAGGTTTAATGCTGTCTTGCTCTTTGCTTGTGTGTCTGTGTCAGACTGCTGCAGGGTGTGGGACGCCCTGATCAGGTGCTGGCGTGCGCAGAGGCTGGCGTGGATTTGTTCGAAGGCTTCTTCCCGTTCCAGGTGACGGAGCGAGGCTGCGCGCTCTGCTTCCGCTTCGACATCTCCGTTGACCCAGAGCGCACAGGTAGAGCCACCATCATTGGACGTATGTCTACAACGGCTTAACTTTTGAAATCAGTTTAATTTAAAATGGCTCATCGACTATTTGTGTGAATGTTAAGCAGTCACACTATTGTGATCCATTTTTCTTCTGTACATTTTTCAACGCATTTCTCGTTCCGCAGTTTTCAGCTATTTCAACAAAAATCATAAAAATCAAAACGTTCAGCTCTTTCAGGACAATCCTGCTATGACTTTTGGTATTGGTTCAACTTTAGCTTTTTGAAATATTTAGCCTTTTCTGCCATTTTTTCCCCTCATATAAAATGAATTGAGCTCATTTTTCATCCTTCAAATCTTTAGATCTGTTTACAACCTTTTACTGCTCCTTTCACATTTTGTTCTGGTTCAGCTGCTTTCAGCTAACACACAAATTTAGCTATTTTCAACTAATTTCAGCTGTTTTTTGCTCCTTTCAGATTCTTTCTGCTAACTACAACATTTGTGTGCTTCTTCTAACATATTTCTGCTCATTTCAGCTTGTTATGCTCCTTTCAGCTTATTCCTGCAAGTTTCAGCTTTTTCTACTACACTGCTGTTCTATGTCATATAGGCTTCGCCCTTTAAGGCTGTCGCTGATGGGTTTATCCCGTTATGCAGAGCATAAGCACTGAAAAAATTTAGTCCACGCCCACCTGCTGTGTGGGCCCCACCCGGTCCGTATAAATTACGTTAAGAGCGGGAAATCGGTTCCCATTTTTTCTTCAGCGAGCTAATATAGCACTGTCAGAAGAACAAAGAAGATAAATTGTGTAAATGACCAACCTTTGTTAAGGATGCTTGGCCCGGCAGTCGACCTCCGGTCGTCCGGTGAGTTCTCCTCCCCGAGGAGAAGATGACGAGCAGTCTTATTCCAAGGTAAGCGTCGGGGAACATTTCCCAGTGACAGGTCACTACACGCCGGACAACGCCATCTTGTATTTTTTCCTCTTATCGCCGACCCTCGGGGCGAACCGGATGGTTCCTCCGGGGCAAGGCGTGCTCAGCTGCAGCCCCCGCTGCTCATTCCCTCCTGGGGAGCGTAGTGTAGGTGGAGGGGGGCTGAGTGAATGCTCATCCCACCTCGTTTCGCATCGGCGATCACACCGCTCCCGGCCGACAGCGCCCTCAGGGGTTGCCCGGCGGAACCCAGGAGGAGGCTGACATGAAGGGACCCCTTTTTTCTACGTCCCACGCCTTTTCCCGCCAGTTCGGATGATCGGCGGGAAGGTTGTTTTTCACTGGGCTCCACTGTGGCTCACCGTCTTGATCCATACGGCCTCGCGTTCCAACAGGACGTTCGACGGGCGAGGCCACAGACGGTTCTTTCCTGGTAGATTGGAGGAGTCGGTCCCCAGTCCGCTCCCATCACCAGAGTTGAGGGTTTCACCGAGCGGGGCTATTCCTCGGTAACCCCCCTGGAGCCAAGCCTCGCGGAAACTTTCGGAGCAAAGCTGCCCAGGTCGGAGCAGCGTCCCGTCCCTCCGGAGGAACACAAACCAGACGGTGACCACGCTCTCCAATCGAGCCCACCGATGTGTTTTCAGGCAGCCGCAGCTAGCAACAACGTGCGCTGCTAGCATATAGCATGTCCAAGGGACTGAAGGCCGCAGACCTGCCTTGGAGACAAAGAACTCCCTCTGTAAGGCAGCTGACGCCAGCTCAACATATGTGCCTCTCCTACGGTTTGCTTGTCGAGGACTGCAGCGCGGATGACGATGATCCAACGATCCACCTGGCTTCGTTACTCCCCTCGCTGCCGGAGAAACTGCACAAGACCTGATGAAGCCCATCGCGGACGCGCTGTTCAGAGCAGCTTCAAACCATGCTGGCGAATTGAAGCAGTCGGAGGAGGTGCCAGAGGCTGTGCGCCACCTCATCAAGCCGCGCGGCCCATCCCGGCCCGCTGGAGGGACCGTCGCGAGCAAGCTTCGATTTTTCCACGGCCGTGGCTCTCGCTGAGTTCCACCACCAGCCCCGCCCGTCAGAATCCAGCCCTCTTCATTCCAGCAACCTGCAGCTCAGCGTTTCCCCAGAGTTCGCCTGCAAGACAGCGCTCTGGGCAAACAATCGCAGAGCTCATGAGGGAGAAGTTTCTCAAAATGACGGTCTCCGGAGGGTGGGTGTAAAAGTGACACGAAAGTTGAAATAAATCATCATTAATGATCAAAGTGTCTGTTTTTTAGCCAGTCTGTTAGCTCGGATGAGCTCACAGCGGCCGCACACATAAAGAGCCGGTGTCCTTAATAAGGTTTTTTTAAACTCACCGCCGCTCCAAGACATTACTAGTCGCTTACAGGGCACGATGGTAAGTGAAAATAACTCGTTATAATCCCGAGCTGCACGATTCTCACTCAAGCGGTGTCAATTCGCACTCGTGGGATAAAACAGCCCCCACACGAGCCGGTGTCCTTAAATAAGGTTTTTAAACTCACCGTCGCTCTAAGACATGACGAGTCGATCACAGAAACAGCCTCCACACATGAGCCGGTGTCCTTAATTAAAGGTTTTTAAACTCACCGTCGCTCTAGACATGACGAGTCGATCACGGCACAACGGTAAGCGAAAATAACTCGTTATCAACTAGAACTGCACGATCCTCTCTCAAGCGGTGTCAACTCGCACTCGTGGGATGGAACAGCCTTCCACACATGAGCCGGTGTCCTTAAATAAGGTTTTTAAACTCACCGCCGCTCTAGACATGACGAGTTGATCACAAGGATGAAACAGACTCCATCCAACGACGCTGCGTTGATGCTGGCGCACACACCGCAGCTTAAACGCGGAGCAGCTGAAAGAACCCGGTAATGAGTCCCGCCTCCCTCCAGCGCGCGCCCCTCCAGCGAGAGCGGCGCGCGTCCCTCCAGAGAAAATCATGTGCTCCCGCGGGGCTAGCAGCCTTCACTCCAACAGCACGGCGTTAATGAAGTCACGCCCTCCGCCTTTCAACCTTCGCACAGCGACGTCAAACGCGCAGCCCCACCGCGTCATCAGCTGTCACACGCTTCGCCTCAGCACAAGCCTCGCCTTGGATCACACAGAAAACATTCCCGCGACGCATGACAGCGGTTGAGGGGCGGACTGCTGACAGCCGTACAAAACGTGACACATCACTTAACGCACGTTCACCCTACGAACGTTACGTAGAGTGGCTAAAACATGCTCGCCATTTTTCAGATGGATGGACAAGGTTTTATGCAAATGGTACAAGTTACAGTTTGCAACCCGAACCCCTCCATTCAGAGGAGTTATAAAACGGTCCCGTCATCATCAGACTAAATCTCATCCCTAAATGCAGAAGTCCAAGTGTTTCTGATAAAGTAATCTACAGAGTCCCCCAACGGAGAGAAAACACAGGGTTTTTACTCACGGATCGGAGGGGTGAGACCGTTTTTTGGATCTGTTGTATAACATCCAGAGAACGCATACCGATCATCCTAACACAGAGACGAGAGTTTTTGTTTTACCTGGATGATCTGCTGCTCCTGTCACTCCAGACAGGAGGCGCTGATGCAGGATCAGGTGTTGACATCACACCTGTTAAATCTGGGCTTCGCCATAAATTGGAAGGAAGCTCGATTTTCCCGGCCCAGACATTTCTTTTTCTGGGAGTGGAATTAAATTCAACCACCATGAAAGCTCATTTATCGCAAACTAGATTCAACACTTTTTTAAAGTCAACTCAGCCACGTAAGACCTGGCAAGTGATAACAGCTGTCTCCGTCATGAAGCTGTTGGGAATGATGTTACTCACACAGTGGTTCCGCTGGTTTGTTACACATGAGACGCCTCAATGATCATTGTCCCTTCCTCTGTGAGAGCAGACCTCCGACTCTGGGGAAACACCTTGTTTCTGTCAGAGGGAGTCCCCATCAGCAGACCACGTCACACGGGTCAGTCTTCACGGACGCGTTGCTGTCAAGCTGGGGGGGGGGACATGCCTATCTCAAGCAGTAGGGGCGCTGTGGCCCCACTACACATCAGCCCACATCAATGTTTTGGAGTGTCGCACAGTACTGAATATGATTCAACACTTTGCTCCCGTGCTACAGAATCAACACGTGTTGATTCACACAGACAACATGGTGACTGCTGCGTACATAAACATCAAGGGTGTGCGTTCAGCCCAGATGTTACACATTGCGCGAAAGCTACTGTGTTGGGCTCATCAAAACCTGCTCTCCATTAGAGCGGTTTACATATCCGGTGTTCTGAACAGAAGGGCAGATGTGATGTCCAGGGGCGGCCCACGTCACGCGGACCGGACCCTCCATCCAGATCTGATGTTTTCAGACGTGGCAGAAGTTGGCAAAGCAGCTGTGGACCTGTTTGCGACGCGAGAGAACGCTCAGTGTCAACTATGTTTTTCCCTGAGCCCGCGAGACGATCCATCGCTGGGGGGGGACGCATTTGCTCACAGCCCGTGGCCCAAAACGCTTTTGTACGCGTTTTTTCCCCCACCTCCTCTGTTTTTACGGTTCCTGAACCGAGTTCAGGAGGAGGGATTGACAGCTCTCCTGGTGGCTCCCGAGCGTGTGAACGCACCATGGTTCCCAGGCCTGCAACGTCTGTTGTCGGGTCGCCCGTGGAAACTGCCGTGGAGGGAGGATGCTCTCCTTCAGGCAGGAGGAGCGATCAGGAGTTACCCAGAAATAGGTCAGCACCTGTGGGTCTGACCGCTGAGCGGTCCCACTTAGAGAGGATGGGTCTCCCTCAGGAGATAGTGTGCACAATTCAAGATTCACGTGCTGCATCTACCACAGTTCTGTACACATCAAAGGGGACGGCTTTTCAGCGCTGGTGTACAGAGAAAGGTTTAGAGGCCACCTCATGCCTTTTAGGCGGCGTGTTGTTTTTCTACAACAGCTGATGGATAGGAAGTTGGCATTCAGTACGCTTTAACGTACGTTGCAGTCATCTCTTCCTGCCACGAAAGTTTCGGAGACAGAACAGCTTTTAATCACCCGCTGATGAAGCGTTTTTCTA